TTTACTCTTTAACCCTCCTCTAAGCTGACGGGTATTGATCGGGTTTACGGCAGAAATGAGTCCTGGAAATCGTAATCGACCAAACTTAATTATTATCAAGAAGAGAGAGAAGAGAGATGCGTTGGACGGGAAGGCACCTTATAAGCTTCTTAATGGCGACAATGTTACCTGGTGAAGTGTGTCTGTGAGTATTGTGGCAGCAGGTGAGGGTTTGGCGTCGTTAATGATCAGGTGAGCGTATCGTGTGTCCACCGGGCCAACCGCAGGCAGAGTTGATTGTCCTACTTATACGCCCTCACGCGCTCCCACCACCCCTCACCACCTGAGTCTCCTTTCAGTCAACAAGATGCACGAAGTTGAAGGAGTGCCACGAACAGAACAGAGGCTACGGCACTAAACTAGATTTATTTTTAGTGAAAATCGTAAGGTGGTTTTATTCCGGTTTGGTGACACGTCTCTTTCCTTAGATGGTTTAGCGCCGTAGCCTTCTGGCCCTGTATGTGTGTTCGTGTAGCTGATTACTGTACTGGAGTTGGAGGGATGTGTAATAATAATAATAATTAACGGTTTATTGAAAAAATTCTGCAGCCCGAAGGCTGAAAATATACATTGGACATAAATGACTTATTACATACATTGGTGGTTTAACAAAAGCCTTCATTAGAGAAAGGTAAAGGAACATACAGTGAACATACAGATTAATGTAGGTGTTGAACAGCAAACTCGTAGTGTAGTAACCCTCCCAGATGGTGTTAGGAGGAACTCACGTGGTGTAGTAGTTACCTCAGATGGTGTTATGAGGGACCTGGCGTGGTGTAGTAATTCCCTCGCAGATGGGTGTTATGAGGGGCCTCACGTGGTGTAGTAATTCCCTCAAGATGGTGTTATGCAGGACCTCACGTGGTGTAGTAATTACCTCACAGATGAGTGTTATGAGGGCCTCACGTGGTGTAATAACTCCTCACAGATGGTGTTATGAGGGCATCACGTGGTGTATTAATTCCCTCACAGATGGTGTTATGAGGGGCCCTGACGTGGTGTAGTAATTCCCTCACAGATGGTGTTATGAGGGACCTCGTGGTGTAGTAATTCCCTTACAGATGGTGTGATGAGGGACTTGACGTGGTGTAGTAATTCCCTCACAGATGGTGTGATGAAATTGACGTGGTGTAGTAATTCCACAGATGGTGTTATGAGGGACTTGACGTGGTGTAGTAATTCCCTCACATATGGTGTTTATGAGGGACATGTGGTGTAGTAATTCCCTCACAGATGGTGTTATATGAGTGAGGTTTGGTCTTAGGCCTTCCTATCGTAGACGGATTAACACATCGCTGGTTGTTGTTGCTCACGGGCCGTTATCACTGGGTACCTGGGACCTCACTGTGTGAAGGTTAACTTGGGTACGACTGTGACTGTTGAGTTGTTCTCACTGACTTAAGCACTGTTCACCTCTGTTTAACACTGGTTCCGTTCCTTTCCTAAATGAATTGTATCTTCTGGGAGAGCTTGTTGATGTTCCGGTGGGGAGGAGGGTTCAGGGGAGGGGGTTGGTATGGGCCAACTTAACAGTTGACCTGGCTGCTCCGAGAGGAGCGCCAGGTACGTCTTGATTTCGGTGGTCAAGGTGTGTGTGTTCTATAGGTTTTGTAAACGCATGAATTGATCCAAATAGCAAGAGATACTTAATAAATAACTGAATGTATAAATAACTACCACATTTAAAATAATTTTCTTAATATTTATTTAGCTGAAAAAATATAGCCACGGTTTAATATTTTATTTTTGCATTTTATCGTAAAAGTCAATATTATTAAGTCCGCCCCGTGAACCAGCAGATATGTCGGGTATGTATAGTGTTATGGCTGTGCATGGCAGGTGTGGACTGGATGTTGTGTGTTGGTAAGGTCGAAGATCTCCTTAATGGCCACTAGTCTTAGCTCATGGAGGTAAGTGTTCAGCCAAGCCTGTGTGGCTCCGTCCTCAAGATGACATTCAAGACAAACGGGGTGTGACACGCCCTCCGCTGCTAAGAGGACAAGCTGTGAGTAGTGAGTGATGGAAGGACTTGGAAGACAAATGATCAAAGAGAATGAAGGAGGGAGGGAGACTGAAGGAGACGCTACGTTCCCTCACGCCTTGGCTCCTCCGCTGTTGTTGTCGACTGCTGTGTACACGCAGGCAGCCCCTGCAACCCCGCTCTACCGAGTTGCTTTTGCTTCTTTTTTTTTAATTTAACTTTTTTCTTTAGTTCTTCATGGTATTCTCCTGCTTCATGGCCTGCGTCTGTTGGAACGGCTTTACAGCACACTCTTTGTTCGTTTTCCATTGTTTTGATCCTTATTGTCAGTTATAATATAATCAGTGGCGGACTTGCACCTAAGGAAAGCTCGGACGTCTCGAGGTTTCCCCGACTGACGACTCCTTCTTTTGCACCTAAAAATCTAAGATTTTCCTTCTTTTTGTCTGCACGTAATCTTCGCTTTAACAAACTTTCGTGAGAATGTGTTAAACAAGTGCAGTGGTGATGGGAGTGTGTTTTGTGGTGTGAGCGCGCAGGGTTGTTGACTTAGCGTTGTCTCTACCAGCTGGTGGTGGGCAAGCCCACACATTATGTGGAGACATAAGAGCTGTAACTTTTGTGCATATTTATAAACGATTGCCAAATAATGGGGTAAATTACAGTTTGTTATCAAATATTACTGTAAATGTGAGTGAGGAGATGCAGAGGTTCACTTACTGTTGTTAGCGTGTGACTCATCAATGATGAGAGAGAGGTGTAGGTCTGACAACCCCGCGCCTCCATGCACTACACGTGATACCGGGACCTTTCACGCTGGGTGTACGTGCATGGCCCGCCCCACAATGGCTTTCCTCAACCCACGTATTTGGAAAATCGAATGAGAATTTTTTTTTCATCATTTGCCTAAAATTCTCGAAAAACACGAAGTGATAACGGAAGTGATTTTGTTTAAATGTCAATGAAACTATGAAGTTAAAGTTAATCTTAAATTATGAAGCCAAAACACAACAAATATATAGTACTGTATACAGCACGTGCTGGAGTTTAATATCTCCTTGGCGTTTCCTGTTATCACTTCGATTTTTCCTAAAACCTTCTTATAAGAAGAAAGAAGCCAACCTTCTTCAGGCTGTAATCTGTTTAAAGCTTGTGTTGTCTTCTCAGCATGTCATGTCATGTCAGCATTGCCGTGATGATAAACTGAGAGATGTGGGACCTTGAGATGTTGGAGTGTTGTTTGTACCATGTGGTAACTGCATAACATAGCATTATTCAACTTAATGAAATTAATATAAATATCATGGATAAAAATGGCCAGAAGTTCTTCTTTAAGTAAAATGCTTTCACTAAACTCACCTGCAGTTACTGTAGCTAAGAGTTAACAGTTAAACTTGGAGCTGGTGTGAATCTGCACTACGTCTCACCACACGCCTGGCAGCCAGATGACCTTCCTATGGTGAACCTGCTGCCAGCTCATAAATAGTTTCTTGCTAGTTAATTATGTGCCATATTTTTGTAGTAATTTATTCAATATTGTAATATAACAGTTTGAAAAAGTGGAATATATTTATATTATTAACGTTGACTAACACTAGATCATATTTAGTGGACATATTACAAATTTTATCCATACCTTTCAAATATTGCTCACTAATATTGATTTAACTTTAGTTTAATTTGTGAACCTGAGAAGTAACTTACAGAGAAAGATCTCATGCCTCCCAGTGTCTCAGAAATTTATCACTCGATTGTGCTAAATATGGTCTAAAAACTCTACGGGATAGAAGAAACACATATTCTCTTTATGTTTTTTGCCAGATCCTGAGGCAGCGCCAGACGCTGGCAAAACATGTCTTGGACATAATGTGTTTACTTCTAATTTACAGAGTTACATTTTTAACCATCTTTGGACGCACTACCAACAACCCCAAGAAAAAATTAGTGAAATCCCATAAGCCTCCCACCTTAACACTTGTGTACATATATTTACTTTCTCGATTGGTTACAACAGTACAGTACACAGTGAAGACTTGAGCACACACGATGATCAAGACAGGTGGACACTCAAGCAAGTGGCGGCTGGGTGATGGCTGGCTACATACAACAAGTCTCGTAGTCACAGTGTTATGAAGAGTAACTGCCTGTAATATTTCCCCAATTACCTCTGACCAACAGCCCCGTTACCTGTGTGTACCTACACCGCCTATCATAACCCCTGTTGCAGACACCACCTGCCTTGCCACATGTCAAGTTATTACCTACAGCTTCAGTGCCACCACCAGTCTATCTTCGACTTTGGAGTTTGTTCCAAGATACAAGAATGGGAAGTGTATCGGGAGAACAATTAGCGATTGTAGAATCTCCGACCTGTACACCCGTAGCAATAATCCAGTGAATTTCGTAACCCTCAAAATTATCTAAGTCAAGTAACCCAATATAACCTGACCAAACCCAAACACTGTAATCTAACGTAACTCCATTATTTTAAACTGAATTCCCTAACCTGTTCTAATCCAAGTAACTAAATTAGTGTGAGTGGAGGGGATTCTTCAATTCAGCCGTGAACAACACAACCAGTGGAGCACCCAGGGTCGTGCACGCTCTCTTGCCTAGTGTGTACACTCGCTCCACAAACTCTTTGTACACTATTTCACAACTGCTGTCTCTCATCAGCGGTGCGCAGCTGCAGCCGTTGCCACACAAGAGGGCGGCCTCATATAGTTGCCGTAACTCACACTATAGCAGCTTGTGCCCAGCTCTCTTGGTCACTGTGTGTGTACTCTCCTCTTACACTCCTGTGCTTCACCGGTCAGACACCATCTTTCGCCACCACCACCACCTGTTTCACCACCACTTATCTCCCCACTAACAACACCAGCTGCTGCACGGTATCTCACTGCTGCCACCAATGATCTATGTAGTTACTTTTAGTTGTGCGTGTGTCGGCTTCTCGGGCTGAGCTCACCTTTCCTTACAGTCGGAGGAACGCAGCCGCCGCTTCCTACAACCGTCACACCGCAGTCGTTCCGAGGGGCCCCTAGGCAGAGACCTAGATGATGATAGTTTTCTTGTATCAGAGTACAAGACCCAGTTCGCCTGGGTCAGGAAGACACCCTCCGCCAGGGGCCCCAGGGCTGCCCCTCTCCTCGAGGCGGAAAAGGTAATGCTTTATTGCCAGGATGGCGGGCCCTCCCCCGGCTAGACTAGAGGTAGAGCAAAGCGTGCTGGCAGAGCTCTGCTGGAGGAGCACACCCTCCCTTGGCCCCCATCCTACAAAGGCGGCCGTTTCCATGGGTTGGTTGCCTACACTGTAGAACTTAGAGCTGGTTACCACTAATTTGTATCTTAGCGCGAGATTATGTTTTAGCGCCATGTTAAGATAAACCATGACCATGTAGATAATTTTCCTCTTTTTTTATTTTGCTGTTTCAGACAACATGTGTAGACCCCAGTTATAAATTAGTTTGTAGTTGCCTACAGTTTCGAAGGATAACTAAAAAAATTTTTACGAAGCATCTCATGAGTTAAAAAAAAAAAAAAAAAATATATATATATATATATATATATATATATATATACAACACACACGTTTCCTGCTAAATAAACTAATCTAGTTAATTAAACTGTAATTGGCCGTGGATTTTTTCATACAAAGTAAGACTCACATGCTTGTCATTATTTATCAAAGCTAAATTGAACCTTGGGCAGTGGCATATTACGTGCACACCTAACTAGCCTAATTAACTTTGTCCTTGTGTCAGTTAGTTGCTGACTTTATCTTAATTGTGTGATTTTTGATACTTGTAAAGAACTTTAAGTAATAAACAAAATCTAAATATTAAATATTTATTATACTGGTAAAGATAATTTGCTCTACGTATATTGTTTGGCAATTATATATATATATATATATATATATATATATATATATATATATATATATATATATATATATATATATATATATATATATATATATATATATATATATATATATATATATATATATATATTCACACTTGTATATACACATACATACAGCCTGCTTGGTCCATGCAGAAATACTAACAGTTCCTCCTACACTCGATTATCCTCATAATGTTATCCATGGCAATAAACGTGTGAGCACTCAGGCGGGACAGAGTGGCCCCGTTAACACACTTCTCTACTTAATGTTGCAGTTTCTCATTAAGCCATCAGCCACTAAGTCTAACCACTGTAATGTTCTTGATTATGGAAACGGCCATGACACAGCTGCTGGAGTAATCAAACCTCTGTTTTTGATTCTCTCTGACAACATCTGTGACTGCTGAACATGGACCAGACCTCACTAATTGCAGGTTAAAACTTTGCCTAGTAAGTACATTGTCTGGTAATGTAACTTGCAGTAAATATTTACAGTGAAGTAATTAAGGCTTTGCTTTATATTTGGAGTTGGCTTCAAGGATCAGTGCTGAGATAAGGTAGTTGTTACCCTTAGATCACACAGTATGGTTCTTGTGAGTGTTTATCAGGCAGTAGAGAGAAAGTTCTTAGTTCAACCTTTGGAAGCTACCTGACTCCTAGGGGCCAAAAGTATGATGAAAAGTTTATTATCAATGCTGATTGGTTGTGGCAGTTGATGATTAACTTAACCCGTCTCTTGGAGGACCTCTTACCGCCCTCTTGCTCCTCTACACATACTCACAATATTATTTCTTCCACAGCCGCCGCCGCAGTCTACAAAGAGCCAGGTGAACGCCAACGGTGTTGCCGGTGGAGCGTCAGGAGCCGCAGGAGGTGCCGCACCCGCTAGTGACCCGAACCCTCCCGCGGATCAGCAGCTGCCACGTACGCCGCGTAAGTCCAAGTCGATGGGTCGCATTCACGGTGGAGGAGCTGGGCCGGAGGTAGGAGGAGAAGGGGCAGCTGGTGGCCCTGAGGCAGCCGGCAGCACTCAGCAGCAGCAGCAGCAGGGTGGCAACCAGGAGGGCCAGCACGACCAGGCACCACCACCACCCCGCACCGACGCTGCCGCACCCACTCAGCACTGGCACCGGGGCCACCGCCGCACACCTTCTGACGGAGTAGCATGGCGACACTCCAAAGGTACACACGGGCACACGCACATACTACACCTTTAACGCACACACAGACACTGACTGTTGTCAGGTGGGAGGGAGGGAGGGGGTGGGAGACGAGCAGAAGTCCCACAATTTAGGGTAGCAGAAGTTGTAGAAGCGTGATGTCAGAGACCATCCATGTCATTCCCAACCAACTTAGAAACTTAGGAATAGTTAGGTTCTCTGGATCAACTTGTCGAGTGGCTTTCTACTTTCATATATTGTGTGTTGGACCATCTGTGGCTCAAGGAAAGACAATCATATCTACAGTTGATTGTTCGATGTGGAAAACAAATAACAAACTCAGAGAGAGAGGAAGAGGAATATAATATTTAATCTGTCAAGACATTTCAATACATCACGCTTCCCTATCAGATAATACCCATGTGAAGACGGTGCACGACGTCCGGAAACATCTTGTCATAAAGGTGTTTTCGACTTCAAGCAGTGATTTTCTTCACTATTGCATTCACAATAATGCGTTCTTATATATATATATATATATATATATATATATATATATATATATATATATATATATATATATATATATATATATATATATATATATATATATATGCGTGTATGTATGTACAGTATGTATGTAAATGAGTGTTTGTGTATTTGTGTGTGATATCGAGCAGCTACAGTTTTGAATTGAATATAGAGGGCTGAAATTTGACGTGGATGAAGTGCATGTTGACACCCAAACGATGTAGTTAGGGATCCATAATTCCTCACCTGGGTGGAGTAGGGAGTCCTCATGATGTAGTGACCAGTGTACAGTACAGTATATTAGCACTGTTAACATTCGCTAGTCAAATACTGTACATTTCTTTGCAGAATAAGAAGCAATATGATTTTTAATATACAGTATACAGTACTATCACTTGTGGTTGGCCCCCAAATCTCGACGTGTTTTTCTAGAGGGGTTCCACATTTGGGAGTAGGGGTCGGTCCATATGGAACCAACCTCCAAAATCCTACTTTCAGGACATGTGGTTTTTACTTTACTTTTTACTTGTGTCCTCTTTGCCACTCATCAGCTTGTTAGCCGCTTGGGCGGTCAGTCACATCTCTGTTACGCACCAAGGGTGGATCCTGAGGGCCCAGATCCCCTTCTTCATTAGAAAATTCCAATACTTTTTCTTTAATGCTGTATTGTACTCAGGCGTTTTTGTATAGTAAAAAATAATTGCTATTGACTTCAGAATATCTCCTAATATCAAGTGCACATGGCCTCAAAATGCCCTATGATATTGGTCAGATTTAAAACAAATCTTCGGGGGGAGGGGGAGGGCTGGGGTTGCTTACAGCTCCCTCCCTCCCAGATCCCCCCAGCTGAGTCGGTTCGCTGCGCTCGCCATGTTCCCCCACCCACAACTTCTTGGACCCCTCCATTTGGTATTCCTTGATCCGCCCCTGCTCACTGTTGCCAAGTACTGGACATACACTGGCTCCTGAATGTATCTGAACCCACTCCAGTGTTGGTCAAGTCTGGTCTTAAAACACCTCACACTCGGTGCTGCCACAACACTCTCTGGCAGGTTGTTCCAAGAGTTCACAATTCTCATTCCGACAAAGTTTGCCCTCACAGTTTTCTGGACCTGGAGCTGTGACCCCTTGTGGGGCGGGTGTCCGCCAGCTCCAGGTATGTACACTCAACTGAGTAGTGTGCCCTTTGAGATGTTTATACACCTCAATTAGGTCACCCCTTGCTGGTCTGTAGTATAAGCTTGGCAGTTGCACGCGCTCCTATCTCTCTGGATAGCTAAGGTGCTGAAGTGCAGGCACCATTCTGGTGGCCCTCCTTTGGACATTTTCAATCAACTGACAGTCCCAAGCATATCTCGGGGACCAGTTGGGCTGACAGTACTCCAGGCATATGCATCTTCGTGCCAAATTTCAGCCTTAAATCTACAAAACTGTAGCCAGAGAATATGAACACTCACAGTCTCACACTGTGCTTTATATATACACTACAGTACCGCATAGTTTTATAAATATAGTTTCCTCCACATCCCTCTTGACTTTTTATTTTATTTATCTGTCAATTATCCCACATCCCATAACCATTTTATATTGTGGACTGGGGAATTGCGAACCTATTGAATACTGTATTAGTTTTGATCAAGTTTATTTTAAGTCCTTCCATTTTGCTTCCTGTATTTAGCTGTTGCGTTATCTAAGTGAGGCCTTCTGTTCAAAGGGAGATAGATTATTGTTGCCTTCTGTGAATCTATCTGTGAGCAAGTTTTTCCCAGACGTGGCTGAAGGTTATACAGGTATATACAGGTACTCTCAAGTTTTGCATCAATGCTCTTCACCTCCTGGTAGTAACAATTTTGCATAGGAACTTTCCAACAACAAATATTTGCTAAAAGGTGAAACAATAAGTTAGCATATGATATATGGCTGTTAACTGAACGGCTGATGGTTTGAGTCCACCTGGGTGAAACTGAGTCACGGAATGATTCTCCGAGCTGACTTACCCTGACCATTATCGGGTGAAGGTGTGATACTTTATTCTATTTGGGGTTGATACTACTTCAGTTTGGGAGGATCAATCTCTCTCTCTCTCTTCTTCTGCGAAAAAAAAAATGATCTGCCACTACACATGAATCACAACATGAGGTATATTTTCAATTTATAGCCGATAACAAATTGATTCAGAGATAATTTCCCCTGACATAAGATATCTGAAATTATTCTTTTATGTATAAGTAAGTGAAGGAAGTTGAAACGTACAGTACTAGAACCATTCTTGTATATATTATGTTGGGAGCACAGTAGTAAGGTGTCTTGTGGGAGTATTTATGTTGATTCATGAATTTTGACCATTTTTGTATATGCAGTAGCATCTTTTTGGAGTGATGCTGAATGTGTCTTATTTTTAAGGACTTATCATTATCATATTTGTAGTTATAGTGAAGTTTATTGTAATTTTGTTTCATTTGAGTTTCTGTATGTTCAAAAATTTTTACCCTTTTACAATATTAGTCAGCAAAACTTAACTATCTCTTTTGATGTCAGTTCAGCTGTGTGGAATTTTACCTATTGAAAACCATCCCCACCTCTGAGTGTTTTGCCTTACCCAGGTTGATGCTTTGCTTTTTTGCCTCTAAATATAAAGACTTTTTTGTATTATAGATTCATTTTGAAATGTTCTTGTACGTACTAAAATTTTATGAAGACCAAAATATTTTACACAAATTCTCGTATGACTTTAGATCAAATTTTTTTTTTTAATTTACTGGAGCTCATTACTTGCATCTAAAGAGATAGAAAGTACAAATTTTATTATTGTTCTCTGTTAACTTTATATTCTTTTTAATTTAGTGTTCTTTTAAGTACTGTACTTGCATTAGTTTAGGTAGGCTATATCAGGCTAAGACAAAGTTGTTGATTACTGTATATGTAATACAGGTAGACTTCATTGGAACCAAATAGTGCATTCTAAAATAAATGCATTAAACCTTAGTTCATGCATTAAGAGCATACCTTTCCAGTACATCTAGATGAATTGTAATGTGTCTTGTCGTAGGCTAGTTGTAAGCCATGCCAAGTAGCGAGTCCAAATGTATAGGAGACATCAAGAGAATCCCTTAGCTCAATACATGGAGAGTCTTGAATACTATTAAAAAAGAGCTTGCTCTTATAGATAGTAGTGAGTTATTGTATACAGTACTGTTAATTAGACATAAGTTTGAAACTATAATATAAATAAGCTCATTGTGATAGTTGGTAGAGAGGTGCTCCGCCCACTCATACCAGCCATCCCACCCTGGAACAAGTAAGAATGTATACAGCGCACATTGTCACATCAAGAGGCAGAAATGCTCTGGTGGTGGTCTGTGAAGCACTTGTACAACTGTACATAAAAGTAGTGCATGAGTACACACACTAGGGATATTATAGTGATATTTCCCAACATACTTGCCATTCTGTCGAGACTGTTTATACTAATTTTCACCCTGTTCTGATGCTGCTAACCACTGCATTAGTTGTAGAAGTCATGTAGGTTTAGAGATGTCTCATACAGCTGAATTCTGGCACTATAATTTTAACTTGAGAGGAATTTTTACACATAATACAGAATTTATGGTCTTGTATGTCCTGTAGTTTACTAGAATATGCTGTACTGTCAGTGAGATATAATATATAGAATGTTTCATTAATAATAATATGATATTTTTCATTTTATATATAGAGCATGGTATAATACATGACTTCCACAGAAAATTCCCTCCCAGTCTACAGTGCCAGAACAATATACAGTATTCCTGCATGACCAACAATTTCCAGTTTAGATTATGTTTTCCTTTAGTTCAGAGAATGATTAACCCCATCTAATACTAACCCTTTTAATATGTAGGGATAGTGAGTAGATGCAGTAATATTTACCATTACATCATATTATAATACTTGACCTTACTATCTCTAACCATGACAAAATATATACTGTACTGTATATGCTAAGAGAAGACTACTGTAGTTGCAAATTATGATGATCTGCAAAAAGTAGCATGATTATTTATAAAGATTTTTCACTTATGCACGATTCTTGAGTTTGTGTGTTGACATTGCAAAGTTTGCAAATATAATATTAATTTAAAAGTATATATTCCAAAACTAAAATTAGTTATTGATGATTGGTATGTCTCACGTTTTTTATAATTTCTTTATTCACGTAAATACCCTAAAGTTGTGAAACTGATTGGAGCTTTAACAGTCCCTGGTACCTATGCATATCAGAACTCTCTCATAGCAAGCAAATTCCTTTTCAGTATGCTTTTTTCCCAAAATTGCTAGGATAAAAATAAATTCTCTTTTCCACTGTGGTCATAGAGTCCCAAATTTTGTTTTACAGGGCTGGAGGCAGACCGTATTATTGGTGGTGAAATGTTGGGTTCCGGAGAAGATGATAAACTTTACAAAAGGTAAGATCTGCTGTGTTATATGTCATTAATGTCAGTTGACTTTTGTGTGTCATTAACCCTTTGTTTATCTATTTGTCAAGTGTTTTCTTCTCTTAATGAAATTTTTGAAGGTAGAAGTAAGGAAGAGTTTGCTGGGTCTTGAGCAGAATTGGAAATGCGTAGGTCTAATCAACAGACAAGAATGCGTATAACAATATTTTGTAAATCAGATCAAGGTTTAGTAAGTTAAGGCATTCTGTGTGTAGTTATCTTCTTGAGCTCGAGTAGTGTAGCGAGAAATGCCACTCTGCAATTTTCTTAATTGAGTGTACTGTATTTATGCTATTCAGAGCCATATTAAACATTAAATAACTTTAGGTAAAATATAAGATAATTACAGTAGTAAGATTGTTATGTATTTTTGTGAGTTTATGTATTTATTTTTTTGTTATTTAGAAAATTACCAATATCCATCAAATTTGCTGGTGGATCGTGTCTCTACCATTTAACCCATAGACAACTTCGTACACTGAATATTATATAGGCATTATGGCCACTAGGAAACTCTTTACATGTACTGTCTTAAACGTATCATGGGGACAAATTACAGTATTATATAGGCTTGGTAATTGAGCCACAACTTGAGTGCATGGATTTTGCCAAGGCTTTTGACAGCATACCCCATGAAAGGCTGAGAATCAAACTGGAAGGGTATGGGATTCGGGGAAGTGTCCTTTCTGCATGACCGCAAACAGTGTGTGGTGATAAATGTTACAAAATTGTCCTGTGTACCTGTGACAAGCGGGGTACCAAAGGGCAGTGTATTGGGCCCGTTGTTGTTTGTCTGCTTCATTACTGATATGCCAGAAGCTATGCACTCCTCCATACAGAAAGATCTCTGTGAGCTTCAAGAATGGTTGAAGAAATGGCTGCTAAGATTCAATGTCATGAAGTGCAAAAGGATGCACCTGGGTTGCACCAACAGTAAGGAGACATATTACATGTCCCAACAGGATGAAGAGACTGCCTTAATTGAGACCGAATGTGAAAAGGACCTGGGTGTGTATGTTGACAATGAACTTCAGTTCTCGGGCCATTGTGAGAAGAAGGTGAATCAGGCAACGAAACTAGTAGGTCGTATACGAAGGTCGTTTAGATATCTTGATGGTCTGTCACTTGACACAATCTTCAAGAGTGAGGTTCTTCTCCATCTTGAGTACTGTCACCCCGTATGGTCCCCGAGGCATGCTAGAGACGGTCAAGTCATTGAAAATGTCCAAAGGAGGGCCACAGACTGGTGCTTGTTCTGTGGAACCCCAGTTACCCAGAGAGATTAGAATTCTGCAACTACCTACAGTAGCTTATACTGTACTATAGATGGGAGAGGGGCGACCTAATCGAAGTGTATAAACATCTCAGGGGGCACTACTTGGTCAAATGTATGTACAGTACCTGGAGCTGGCAGATGTCCGCCCCACAAGGGGTCACAGCTCAAGGTTGAAGAAGCCAAGTCCAGAAAACTGTGAAGGCAAACTTTTTTGGAGAGAGGGTTGTGAACTCTTGAAACAATCTGCCAGAGTGTGTTGTGACAGCACTGAATGTAAGCTCTTTCAAGGCCACACTTGACCAACACTGGAGCAGGTTTTGATATATTCAGGAGCCAGTGCATGCTCAGTATTTGTCAACAGTGTGTAACAGTGGCATGACCGACCACCCAGGCGGCTAACGAGTCAATCGGTTGCAAAGAGGATAAAAGTAAATAGAAATCCATAAGACTCTGAGCCCACAATATACAGTGAAGGCCTTTGGTCTCTGGAGTTACTTATAAAGGATAAAACAACTGGGAGAACAAGAGATCAGAATATAACCAAACAAATGACATTCTCTCTTACAAGAATACTGTACCAAGTCCTTTTTATTTGTGATACAGTACCTGTAATCATTTAAACAATACTCTGTAATACTGTACAGTACAATTATGATTACACTAACTTGTATTCTCTTGAGTATTACTGTACAGTACCTGTATTTATAACTTCCTAATGTTACAAACTTAAAACAGTACAAAGAAAACATGATGCCCACTGTAGTTCATTACTACAGTTACAGGCACTTGTCAGTTTCATTACTGTGTTTATACTCCTCTTCCTCAAGTGTATATGTACAGGGTGTCCGATGGCTTTATTTGTTAGGTCACGTCCTGTAAAAGATATTCTATGAACATGGGTCTGATTCTCATCAGTTGCAGAACTACAATATATGTACAGGTGCCCCTCTACCTATGAACAAGTTACGTTCATGAGGCTTGTTTGTTAGTCCAATTGTTTGTAAGTCCAACTTTACTCTTGTAGATACCAAACATATTGTAAAAAATGAAAATATTATGGATATTTAGTACAGCTATACCCTTTAATACAGCCTTAAAACCTGGCTCACTCTTCTCCTCTTAGATAATGTTTGTTCTATCTGGAATTTTCTTTAAAATAATCCAGTCTCGTCCACATTAAACACCTGTTCTGGCAGGTAACCCCCTCAGTGATGATGTTTGTATCTCAGAAAGTTTGTAAGTTGAACGTTCTTAAGAAGAGGAGCACCTGTATTTGAAGTTAAGTGATTTGCATATGATAAAATGTTTGAAGTGCAACAAGCATAAAGGTTACTAGTAGGCAGCTATCAAACAGGGAGGTACTACCACCTGGGAAGATATTGGAAGCATGACTTTTTGTCTCATATACACTCACTTTCAGGGTCTCAATTGTTTGACACTACAACATATTTATCATTTCCCTCCCTTGATTTGTTTAATTTTCTTTTCCATTTCTGTATTTATATTTGGTTCAAATTATTATTTTTCCTCCCAGGCCCCGATATGGGTTCGACCACCTGTGCCTGGGTGGGGTAATCCATGAAAAAAAAAAAAATGACCACCCTCAGCTTGGATACATATCTAGCTTGTTATAACATTGAATGAGTAACCCTACCAAGAACATCAGGGTCAGTTTGCAATCTGCTTCATCCATAATCTGATGAAGCAATTCCTCTCTTCTGTTCATTTTTTGTTCGTATCCAAGTTGAAGGCAGCCACTTTGAACATTTATTGTAGACTAAACTATACGTTTGTAGCACCTACTTAGCAAAAATTATGAATGAATGGAAAAGCCCAACTAATAATTAAGCAACGGGGAACTAAGTAACCAATCACCGATCACTTTTACATTCGTTCATAATTTTTACTACGTACTATAGTAAACAAACGGCCTCGAGTTGCCAGCTGTCTCCAGCAATGTTCGAAGAATCTTGAACGAGACTGTACAATGTCATCTCCTTCTTGGCTTTTCTAATTTGTCAATTACTGTTCTAACCAATTTTTTTTTCTGAGATTTCTTAATATTCTTATTGTTTATGATTCCCTTAATGGACCTCCTATCTATGGGAATGGAGTTAAGGCAATAAATAAATATAAATTATCATGTTTTTTTTGTCAGCACATTGAGTTTATTGAATGGTAAGGCTAATACCTCCCCAACAGCTTTATTATAAATTTCCCTGTTCATTATGTTGGGAAATGTTTAAAATGAATATGTGATTTTTAAGCATGCTTTTGTTATGTTTTCTCCAGGGCCTACAAGTCTGAGTATCGCAAGAAGTTCCGTCCATTCTCGCAGTACCAGTATGTGGACGGTAGATTCCATAAGGTGAAAGCTGATGAAGCTACAGCAGCAGCAGGCACTAGTGAGTCACCAAATAATTGGTACAAGGAAGTCATTGAGCTTCGTCGCCAGGCCGGGCAGTATCGGGTATGTACTGAGTTAATTTGTGGAACTGTACTATACTGTTGTAAGTTATTAATGAAGTTTTCCTTTTGTTTATCATCAACATTTAGCGAGGGGGAAAAAGAGATTCATCAACATGAGGAATTTCTGTCATATGGTACATAACCACTATGTTGTGGATTTCTATTTTCCATATATTGTACAGTATTTGTGTTCAGCATTTGTATATACTATAGTTTTGTGTAATTTATAGAGGGATTGTAAATGGCATAACTTTTGTCTCCTTTATTCAGTTAACAGGGATAGAATCATAATGAAAATTTAGCTGGAAGCAACTGAAATGGATTCTTACCCAAAGCAAGTGCTCACTGTTTGGCTTGGGTTTTGCCAAGCATAGTACTACAGTATACAGTCTTATGGAGCCACTTTACTTGAACAAACATAAATTGTTTTGAGTTATGGTATAGGCAACTTTGAGAATGTTCAGCAACTATTGAGAAATTTTTACAATTTGTTGACAAAAGGTGTACAAACCTAACCAATAACTTAAATGGGTTATTAATTAATTCTGGATAGATGTTCTGCAGTTGGGTCAACTTCCATGAAAAACAGTCACCTGCTGTCCATGAAATGTGAATCACAAACAACTGAATCTGATCCAGCAAGCTGAGATCTATTTTCCCTGAGTAGGTACTGTATTATCAAGGAGTGAAGGAGTGTGTGTATGGACTGGAGGGAAATGAGTGGAAGGGGGGAGGGGGCGGATGAGGTTTACATCTCTCTAGTGTCTTAGCCACTTAGACTTATTATACAGATTTAAAGTAATGGTGATAATTTTATTGATTCAGTACAAGTGCTAACCCATATTCCTAAATCATAATCACCCCTTCCATGCATAATTTGGTTCATTAAGCAATACAGCACATGGCAACTGCAGCATACAACTTACTCTACCCCCAACCCTCCTCATTCTCAGGTCCCCAAAACCCCATATCCCCACCCAAATAGTCATACTGTTATCAGAAGGAAAATATATTTGCCCCTGTATCTGCCTGCTGGTTCAGATTCAGTTGTTTGTTATTCACAAATCTTGGACAGCAGGTGATTGTTGCATGTGGAAATGTTCCCAACTGCACATTCATGGCTGTTGATAAAACGGATCAAATTATTCCTCAGAACTGATGTCACATCTGAATTTTCATTCTAAACCTACAGGTTTGGTTAGTTTTCAGTTATGTGAAGGTTAGATTCATCATATAACCATTTTCCACATTGGTTACATTATGGTGTAGGTTAAACAGGTACAGTATTAGGTTCCAGGCCCATGAGTTTCTGGAGAATATAGTACAGTACTGTGCTGTACAATGATTATAATAAATTTTCAGTTCAATGTTGTGCAAATCTAACATGGAATTGCTAGCAAATTGCATTAAGTAATGAAAAGAAAGAGAATATTTGACTGGAAAAATCCACAATTGGTTATGCACATCATTTGAAAATATTAATTCAAAGGCACTAAGACCTGCTAACCTGTGTATGGCTTTATTAAATGATCATCTTTCAATGAGTACTGTACATAATTTGAATCCAAATGTTTAAAAAGTAGCATGAAATTTACTACTGTGCAGCATTGAGAGTTCAGAATTGAAACCAAATTATATTCTCAAGTCCATCAAGAGGCTGGAAGAAGGTGCACGTAATTATAAATATGCGTCATATTACTGAGTTTAACTGAGGAAGATAAACAATGGTGTATCCATGTATACACTCATGAGGTAAACTGCCCCTATAGCAAGAGTTTCATGAGTAAAGAAGGATGTAAAATGTCTACAGTATTAGAGAAATAGCATATAATTACATCCTGTACATACCTGTCATTCATGAAAGGTTACATCATACAGGTGAGACAAGATTAATGTATCCAGGACTTGAAGTTGATACGGTTATCATCTGTGATCATCTTGAGCCAGTCTGGGGCCTGATGTAGTCATCAACATTGAGCATTTGAAGCTACAGTATTGTGTGGCCTGAAGTTAATACTAATACCAACTTTGAGGATTATAAGTTAGTCTGAGTTTTGAGGCTGTTGCTGTAACCAACCTAGAGGACTCCAAGCTACTCTATGTTTTGAAGTTGATAATGTTAACAATTCTGAATATACCAGTCTAAGCTTTGACATGAAGGTTATTTTATCAACAGAAATCAGTTGAAATTGAATAATGCCCCACCTGTTATGTGCTGTAGATGAAGTCACCCTCTTACTATATTAACCCCTGCATGAATATCATGGCTGCAGAGTTCTGCAGGATGAACATAACACAACTGGTATGTGAGAGTAATATACTGTAGAATGGTGCATAAGAACATAGCTTTGAGTACCGGTATTCATAACTTTATTGTTAAGGACCTCATTTACCTGGAGAAAATAGATTTCACCTTAGAAATTCATGTTGTCATTGAATTTTGTTGAAGTATGATAAGTCAGTACTGCATAGTGTGATTCATTCTAAGTACAGTATTTGTTGTGATTCTATGCATTAAAAAAGAATATACTGTATATATATATATATATATATATATATATATATATATATATATATATATATATATATATATATATATATATATATATATATATATATATATATATATATATATATATATATATATATATTGAATAAATTTTAAAGTGTGCTTGATGATGGTGAAATATTATTTTTGGTGGACTAGCACTCCACCAAGAGGGTTGGGTAACCCAATAGATGGTGAATGCTATGAGTCTGGGATCAATACCTAATGAACTACATCACATCATAACAGGGAGAGTCCTGTATGGTTGAAGAATAATTAAATATACCATACTGTATATAAAACTACATAAGGTTCACAATTTGGTGCACTAATGATATTGGGAAAATGCAAAACAATACGGTATTATAAATTTATAAATACAGTAGTGTCCTTAAGTTAGATGGTGAAGAAATTCATTCACCGCTTCTCCCCTTGTTGTAGTCCTTCCTTCAGCAGTCAGCTTTATTTAGTTTGTGGATGTTAAATCTTTCAACATATGCAAGCTGACCACTGTAACCCCAATACAGTATATTCTAAGTCCCCTTGGTTCTATTAATGCACTAGCTGATCAGAAAGTTTTGTTGCACTTTGTACCTTCCATATGCTTATTTGTCAGTTCAGTACATGTAGTTGAATTTATAAGTTCATGCAAATGCTACCTCTGAAAATATGAATAACCCTAACTATATACTTGAATATTCTGGATTCCTATAGTTTCTCGTTGTTCGGGCTGATAAAATAATGAAAAGTTGTAGTGTTGTTCATTATGAGACCTGTGGTAGTTTCACAGTCAATGGGTTTTCTAGTTTGCCTTGTTACTCATTTTTCCTCTTTGCCACTTGTCAGCTTACTAGCCTTTCTCACAGACAGTCAGATCTTTCCTGGTAGAAGTCATAATCTTGGTGTAGGTTGAGGGTTATTCTTTTTAAATCTGTAAATGACACAAATGAATTACCTGTATGTAGAGTGTGTATACAGTTGGCCCAAAATTTACACAGTGGTCACATTATTGAAAAGTACCATGCAGCTCTTCCTCACTGAGCTTGGTGCGATGGGATTCAAGTAGCTCCTCTACCCCTGCCACCTAGAAATTGACAGCTCTGAATCATCTTTACCACCTGTTGCACTCTCATGAAATCACGAAAATCATTCACTACCTTTGGCCACAAACTTTCTCAATGTGCATTAATGCTGAAATGCTTTATTTCATTCAGAGCCTTTTTTTATTTTATATACCTGTAGTCTGTTTGGTGTAATCTTTCCAGTATTGGGCCACTCTTAAATATAAATCATTGTCTATAGCATTTATGATGCACTGGAAAGGGCAGCAAGTGTAATAAACTCAAAAAGCTGAGATGACATCTTGTTTGAGGGGTTGGAGGTTGGAGGAGTGATGTGGTGTTTAGAGGCAAAAAGACATTCAACAATTGAGATGTGCACTCATGATTTGCACTTGGGTCACTTATGCTGTACTCCTCAGGACCAGTGGCGACCGTGATGAACCTTGTACAGTATAAGTGAATCCAAACCAGGTAGAACATATAAAGGTTCAATTATCTGACCATGCAATAGGTGAAATTGTGCACAAAATCTGTGGAGATTAAGGGCTGACTGTAATAACAGCTTTGATTTATCTTTATCCTCATTGTTACTGAATTGTTTTGCATTTCACTGCCCAATTTTGACTTAGTCTTTTAGTCTTATTCTGTCAGCCAATTGTCAGCTTACTAGCCAGTCAGGCGGTCAGTCTGTTCTCAGTTATGCTCTGTTGACAAGTACTGAGCATCAGAGAGAAATCTCCCCAAGCACTGAGAAGGGATACATATGCAGATGCAATACAATATTTTTAGCTGCTCAACAGTCATTTGATCTAAGGAGCAAAGTACTACTTGTGCAAGTTATTGCAGGTACTGTACCATGATGTACAGTATTTACATGTAACAGATGCAACAATTGTAAATTACCATATGTAACATCAAGAGAAATCAATCTTTCTTTAGCTGCCAGATATTGGCTGCAATTTCCTGCATTCAGATCAACATATAAATACGATAGGAATTTATTTGTCATTGGAGATACACTTCTTACCATGCACAGCTGCTTTAAAGGAAAATGTCTGAATTTTTTTTTTTTTTATATCTAGATGTTGGGGAGGGAGGGGACATGTACTTGTGGTATTTTAGAACAAATTTGGTTTTTATGATTAGACAGTGGGTGAAGTTGTTTTAGTACAGTACTAATTAGTGCCAAGTTGCACTGGATATTAATCAAACACTACCTTCTATATGGAGATTTATACCTAGGACGAGTGTACTGCCATCGTAGATTAGTAATCACTCTGTCTCCATACCCGCCCAGAAGAGCAAAATTTAGAAGGTATAGTAGGCCTATAGGTGAATGTGGCCATATAAGAGAACATCAATGCAAGAAAGGATAACCTTTAGGCTTTTCCTCTCATAAGCAACTGAAATTTGATAAATTTATAGTCTATTCTACTCTACTCTACAGTACAGTATTGTGTTCAGCAAAGATGAAATTGAACATTTATCAGTAGGAATAAGATGAGTATATAAGAGGATGCTACTCAAAACTGAGTAAACTAAGGTTGCAAATCAATATTTTATTTCTTTTCTTGTATTTTGAAGTCAGTTTGTGAGATTTGAGGTGATGTATTAACCATATTGAAGTATCATAGCAGAACACCCATATTGTGGCAGTAAAGGAGAATGAATGATAGCAAATGGAGTGAGTCTTTGATACAATGATTCCAGCCACTGTGAGTGAAAAAAAAATGTTTTGTGCTTTGAAAACAGTATGTACAGTATACTTAAAAAAAAAGTATATGCTAATTGACTTTTCAGTTCAGGTAATCCTGTACATACTAGAGCACCACCTGCCTACAGTATCTTAAGTCTTGTTGATGGAAGCCATAATAAGGCCCTTCATGTTTTCTGGGTCATCTATAAATACCAACTTTTTGAAACCTTGTCATTTAAAACCTTTATGACTTCTCTTCTAGATTGTTATGTTTTTCTGATTTATTTTTTTAGATGTAATAAGATTAGTTATCATGATCAGTTATTGCTCAAGTACAGTGTCTTAACTTTCTTTTGTGTGGTGTTGATATATGGTACCTTTAGGGTGAGAGAGAGAATTATCATAAATGCCAGTGTGAATTGCTTTTGAAAGCTCCTTGGTGTGTAGTAAATTCAGTGAAATTTGTTATTTAATTGAACAATGCCAGGGACTGGATTATAGCACAGCTCTCTATCTGGTTAAGAATTTAATTATTTAAGAGTACACTCTGTACTTACGTACTTTGCATACTACAGTATTCACTATTATGTACTGTATCATAAATGTTCATCTTGTGCTGGTGGTCTCTTTAAAAAATTATTATGAGTTGCTAATTTTTAATGGAGAAATCTGAGGTCACAGATGATGTAGTTGGTCTCAACAATTTTGCACGGCACTAAAAGGTTTTTACCGAGTGCCACTTTTATTGCCTGACGTCTGCTCTACACTGACTCGCCTCTTGTTCTGATGGTTTCTTTGAGGTACTTTGTACAGCTGACTTCATTATTTGCAGAGTTATGTATTTAATTCCCTGATTGTTGATAAGTTATATATGTTTCTCTCAATTTTGTTTTTTAATATTCTCTGCAGGAAGTAAAAACTTGAAGTGTCGGGTCTGGATTCACAAATACTATATTCTGTATATTAATTTAGTCTCCAACTGGTGCTACATGAACGCATTTACCTAAGGTTGATTTTCAGTGTAATTTTTAATCCATTTTGGGTATTTATTTATTTTTTGTAAATTAGCAGAAGTCAGCCAGTTAGATGCATTCTCACAGCTCCAGTTATGAGAAAATTTTAATGTACAGTACAAACGTTTGAGAGTCCTGGACCGGATATTTAAGGGGGAGTTTTGTTTACTTGTGTATGTTTACTTTTGAAATTCTCTTCAGCACTTTTCTTTGTCAGTGCACAATGTAATAATTGTTTTATTTATGTGTATAAGTTTAAAAATTTTTATAATTATGTAATATTAAGGTGTGCATTTTTCTTTTCTTTTTTATTGTGGGATTTTCTTCCACCTAAGACTGTGCAAGATATGACTTTTATTCAGTTGATAGAGTAACTGAGTTAGAAAATAATTTTAATTTTCATTTCTTATAGAAAAATAGTAATGAATTTTTAAAATTGTGTTGACTTTAGAAAACAACAGAAACTTAAGGGACATGATAAAAATGGAAAGATCCCATTTTTTTTGTTTTCCCATAAATCATATCTAAGAAGAATAAGTACTTTTGTTTTAATTTTATTTGCAATCTCTGATGTCGATGTTGGGATACAAAGCCACCCCACAGCCACCTTAGGTATTAGCATAACCTCGCCGCTCCCTCCTTTCTCCCCAGGCGAGGCACGATATTGGTGACGTATGGCGGACAGTGCAGGTGTGTGGATTGGGTCATGCAGGCTTGTGGCTGACCCCTTCTATTCTCTATAAAGTTGTTTCCTTCTCTAATGTCCAGATTTATTTGCTTTTCATTAACCATATTAGTTTTTTTGTTTTTTTATTGGCGTTATCGTGATAGCAGAAACAGTACTGTACTGGTGTTTTTCAGTGCCTTCTAAGTTCGTCATCCAAACCTTAATTGGCATTCAATATTTGGCAGAGAACTTGAGGAACATCAAGTTGGTCGACTTTATCCAAACGAAATTCAGGTGTAATTTGCCAATTATTTTCTTAGCACTATCATCAGTTTTTCTTATTCCAGTGCACCATTACACTAAAAAGAAAAAGGAAGAAATTGAAAATAAAATTATGATATGATGACCTTTCCCCAAACTCCTCACAACAACTGTCTCTTCCATGTATTGACATGTCACCCAAGGTTGTTTCTTTTAGTTTGATACATAGTGTAACCTTGTTAGTATTTTGGAACTGTGAAGACTAACTATACATATAAGATTAATCACAAGTACTGGAAACAATAGTCTATAAAGGACCACCAGTGCACGATTGCATTGTCAAAGCTGATGTATAGTAGAAGTTGACATGCACTATCCAAGAACTTTGAGTTGGATGGTTGTCAGTGGAATGTATCTATATCACCTTCAGTAGGCTGCAAGAGTGTTGGTGAGAGGAACAGTATAGGACTTGTGAAGCAGTTTAGCTTGCAGTTTGAAGGGAATTCCTGTTGGTTATTTTAAATACATTGCAATAGTTTGTTTTGTTTTTGCTTTATGGCTTTTTGAAATATTGAAGTTAATCTTTATTATTAGTTTTTGTATCCCATTACCAATAATGTTTCATCAAGGTTTGACAATGCATATCTGAGACAAGGAATATTAGTTGTTGGCATGGCAGTCCTCTAGCCTCCTTAAAGTCTGGGCTTGGATTCTCAAAGGTTTATACCAAATTTTTTTTCCCCCCCGACTTGAGTTGTTAGAATGCATCTAACTGGTTCACTAAACCTATAACTAAAAGTATGTTGTTAAAATCACAACTGAAATTGCATTTAGACTGTATTAAGTACATGCATTCTCTTAACCCTAGCTGGAGGGGTTAAAATATGAATAACATATGAATCTTTGGTAATCTGGACTCTGCATGGCAGCTTTATTTAATAGTTTTTTTTCTTTTCAGTTTCATCCTGTATTTGTCTGGCTTCAGTTAGAAGTTTAAGATCTGTAGTTGAATTTATATTTTATTAAGATGGATTGTTAAATATAGTTTAAGATATGTTCTTGAATTTGTATATTTATATGTCCAGAAGCTTTTGAAATTACATAGTTATACACTTTATACAGTACAGTATACGTATATGGGTTTTAGAAATGCTGGATCATAGTGTTAATGAGTTATTTTTGCTATTACATTATCTGGATACCTTTGCCCCTTGTAATAATTATGACTGATTATTCTGTTGCCATTTTATATCTTGACATATTTAGAGTGTAATTTACCCTGACATTTTTCATTGAAACTGAACTTGCAGACTCTGATACCAAGACACATATAATATTGTGTAAGTACGAGATAGTTGGCTTACAGAGATACTGTTTACCTACACAACACCGTGAAAGATTCTTCTGTACTGTATTATGGAAACTAAATACTGTACTGTATCTACATATTTGCATACTATTTGTATGCAGAAGTGAATGTTTATGTATGTTTTTCATGGATGTTTGCGCAATATGGTTTGTGTGGATGTGAGTTTGCCCGTAGGGATATATACAAGCATGTAATTTCAGACATTATTTGCACATAAAACCCAACACTGGCTACAGAGGCTTCAATGACTTATGGTAATATTCTGTAATAATGATTTTTCAGTTGAAGATTACAGTACAGTAGAGAGAAAAGCTTACCATACCAGTAGTGTTGCTTGGGCCAAAGAATCCATGATATATAATAGGAATATGCTGGAGAAAAAAGTAAATGTTATTGGACATTTGCCTCATCACACTGAATATAGAGCTTTTAGGTACAGTATTGCAAAGGAGACTGGATAATATATTTTACACTTTTTAGGAATGGATATACACTACTGTATATGAAATTCTTTGTCCTGTCCTTAGTCTGACATGAATGATAACCCCGTGAACTGGGCAACTTTTGTGTTATATATATATATATATATATATATATATATATATATATATATATATATATATATATATATATATATATATATATATATATATATATATATATATATATATATATATATATATATATATATATATATATATATATATATATATATATATATATATATATATATATATATATATATATATATATATATAAGCAAACACTTGTCATTCAAATGACTAAAAAAATAAAAGATAGCCTTCACACATGATATTTGTAATGCAGTACAGGTTGTCATGTTCATAATTCATCCAAGTTGCATGAACTGTACTATCATACACATTCTTCTCCATACAGTACAGTACAGTACAGTACAGTACATAATAACAAGCCAGGTTTATAAAACAAATTATAATGGCTCCACTGACCTGTATCTCCGTCTGCCCACAGCACCGGGGTTGGGGTGTAGAGACTGCATCTGAACGCTTGGCAGAGATTTACAGTAAGCAGGCAGAACTATGGGAGCAGGTATCTCGTCGATCATCCCTCCAGGCTCTCTCTCTCGCGTCGGCTTCACCAAGGTTAGTTTGTCACAGCTGTGCAGTATCATCTTAAGCTTCAGCTTATGAAGTTTAAGCTTTGATTTCTCCCTCTTAAGGCGAGAAGCAGATTAAGTACAGTATTGTAATGATAAGACTTACGGAATAATTTGTGAATGATTTAATTTCAGATATGCACCACATTAGGGGATTCATCTGTCTCATGATGCGATATAATGCTGCTTATTTCACCCCATGTATTTAGATACAGGACTTATTAATTATATTGGGACTAAAATGAAGCTTTCAAAACTTATTTTTATTTGTACAGTAATAAATTAACCCTTAATTGTAAAATCAAACGATTTTTTTTTTTTAATGGGAATAGCCTACCAGAGCGCAGGTCAATGACCCACATCAGGGCCTGGGGGCAAAAATATAATAATAATAATTAATAACAATAAAAAATAATAAAAATTATTAAAAAAAATAGAAAAAAAGGTTAAATAAAATATATATTATAATAATAATGATAATAATAATAATAATAATAATAATAATAATAATAATAATAATAAATAATATTAATAATAAAACACCATAAAAATATATATATATAAATAAATAAAAAAATAGCGAGAAACAATATATGTATGTTGTGTTGTCAAAGTAAGAGAAACAATTGAGACCCTGCAATTGTGTGTAAATGAGGCAGAAAGTCAGATCAGCAACCTGGGACTTGGTCACAATTTTTGTGATGCCATATGGCAGCAGGGTCTACCATTAGACAACACACTATGCTTCCAATATCTTCCCAGGTGGTAGTACCTCCCTGTTTGATAGCTGCACTGAACATTTTTCAGACATTTTGTATTTAGTTTAATTTTTCTTCATATTTTCCTTTTGAAATAAAAAAGAAAGAGAGAAAGTTTATAGAGAATGATGCCTTCTTCAATAAATGCAAACAAATGAATTTTAGAAGTTAAAGAAGAAAAAAAAATGTTAAAAAGTTGACAAAGAAGATAACCAGAGGATGACTAGTTAAATGGCTGATAACCCTATTAGGCCTCTCAGTAACCAAACCAAACAAATCTCTTAGGATTGGTGCCCAGTCTTAGTAAGTAATGTGTTTTATTGATAATAGTTGGGTTAAGTGTTAATTGCTCTATTGTGTGAGGACTGAGGCCCATATGACCTGTAACTGAACCATTTGTGAGTTGTAAAGTTCACTTTTTCTGCCACTGCTGTAAACAATGTTGCCATGGGTTTATACTTTTTTCTTGTGTTTAGAGTAAAAGTTCGTTAGAAAGTATTTTTGTGAGGTGTATGAGTATACAGTACAGTGAACCCTCACTTTACGCGGTCAATTGAACCCACAGCGGCCCGCGTAAAGTGAGAAACGCGTAAAGTGAACAACATAACATATGGGTTTAATTGAAATAGAGACCGGGCCGACCCCCAAACTCCACTTTTTCAGACACAATACCTACGTTGTAGTAAAAATAACTTCTTAATTTTATGATGGTATGCACACGCAATTAATAATTAAGAGAAATATCAATAATATTAGGTTTTTTAACACTTACATTAGTAGAAAAGATGGCTGGGCACACAGGGATGGGGGGTTGGTTCCGAGGCAGAGGGCAGATTATTGGCCCTCACCTGTATCACTTGTATCAATTGTATCACTATCCACCACAGAGGCTTGCAGGGCCGCTTTGTCAAACCCCTCAAAGTCCATATAAGTCCATATCCTAACTATAATTATCACTATCACTGACTTGGGCCGGCTGTGGCGGGTGAAGAACTCGGTAATGTTTTGATGACTGGGCGACCTTGTGCGCATCCTGCTTGCGCCGCTCTCCGCGTAAAAGGGTACACACACCGCGGAAAGTGAGCATTCCGTGTTCGGCAGGGTACCGCGTAAACGTGTAAACGAGTAAAGTGGGACCGCGTAAAGCGAGGGTTGACTGTACAAGTTTTTCAGACAAAATTTTTTTGAAAAAGAGGAGGGTTGACTGAGATGTGAATTACACTTTCAAGGGATTGAATTCTATGCATCTTGGGGTCAAATCTCTTATCTTAAAAATTGAAAAATATAAACTGCTGTCGCCTGCCATTCTTCTTTTTTGGTACAGTCGGCCACAGGAATAAGTACAGTATACACACTGTAGCTGTAAGGTCCGAAAATGGTCTGGTAACGTTGAAACTGCGCATCCAGACGCATGATGAAACTCAACTCCCCCCACCTGTTATCTCTAACTATTTTCTGTTTCCCCTTCTTTATTCTTCTATTTACTCCTCTTCCTTCCTTTACTAATTCAAACATCAGTACAAAAAAAAAAGTCGGGTAAGAGAAAAAGTGGGGGAGGAGGAGGGAACTGTACGATAACTGCAATCCCATTCGGCAACAAGTTTACTACCATTGGAAACAATATACAGTATTACTTGTAATATAAACACAAGACACTAGTAAAACATTCACAACAAATGTATTTATAACATTTATGTAGGAATAAAACATAAATTACAGGTCATTTTGTAATTTTGTCTGTTCTGTTCAGGACAGTGTTACCATATTTTGTCTCAAACACGAACCGTAGGTGTACAGTATACTTATTCTTGTGGCTGACTGTACATGTTAGTTAGCTTCTTGTTCCAGCAGTGATGATAATGTCTTGCTGAAGATAACTCAGGTGCAAAAGTCAGAAGTGGGTGGAGGAAGTTTTGGGAGTGTCTGCCTTTTTTGATGGCAAGAAGACCTTCCCTTCACATGAAGGGAAAATGTATGCAACTGGCGTGAGAAGTGTAATGTTGTATGGCAGTGAAACACAGGTGGTGAAAGAGGATGACATTCACAGGTTTGAGAGAGCTGGAATGAGAATGTGCAATGTGACACTAAGAGGGTTGTGGGTATTGAGATTGCTTCACTGTGTTGGGGAAGGTTTGTGTTGAGGTAGGCCGAGATGGTTTGGGCAAGTGGAAAAAATAGAGGAGATCAATTGGGTCAAGAGGTGTACGAGTCTAAATGTTGAGGGGAGGAGAGCTAAGGGTAGTTCAAGCATGTCATGGGGAGAGGTTATAAGAAATTGATTCAGAGCTAATAACCTGTCAAGAAAGGCTGTAAGGGATCATGCACCATTTAGAGCTGCCATCAGGTAATCCTGGCTAACTCTTGCCAACATGAAAAATGGCCATAAAATGTCGATGATGATGTTGGGGAGTGTAGGTGGTAAAGTGAGAGTGTCTCACCATAATGTCATGGGTTCGAGCCCTGGCCTGAGGAGGTTGATATCCAATGTGACCTTGCCAAACATCACATGATTCCACCGGGTACTCTGGTTTCCTCTTGTAATAACATTGGACGATAAAATTCTTTGCAAAGTAACAAAGAACAAATGAAGTGCTGTCAATAATGTTTCTCCTCTCATCTCATTACCAGTGCTTTGTGATCCTCAGTGTCTTTAACTGTGTTGTTGACCTTTAATAGTGTGTAGTGGTGTTCCAAGTTCAGATGCATTCTAGGAAGTCACTACACTCTCCTCTGCTTCTGAAAGTCCTATAGAGCCTATAGAGTTTTCTTATAGGATTAAAGCAGTCTATCCTACTAAAGCTAAAGTAAATTTGATTGAATGCACTGTAGTAAACAGTATGTACCTTACCTATGACCTCTCTTCAGCAGGCCGATCAGCAAGGCAGAGAAGGAGATTGAAAACTCACGAAGGTCGTCCCCTATCAAGCATGTGAGTAAATCCTCACGTGAACGTCCCAGCACTGCACCGCCCAAGCCTAAACCTGCTGCTGTGCATGTGAGTGATATTCTTTTGTGATGATATTAATGCTTTTTATTATGAAAATACTGTACAGGTACATAAATCTGTTTCGAGAGAGAACTTATGTTGTTTGCACCACATGCCTATAGGAAAGACAATCAGTTTGGTGAATGCCTTGTGTCTCTTTAATGTCATATGCCATGTAAATAATACATGCTGTTGGGTGCTGTCTGCTATATCCATTACAGAGGACTCAAGGGAGGACAGTAGATATATATGTCTTTTGCTCTGAAGACAGAAAAGGGGAGGGTTACAGCCATACATTCTGTGGTACAATATAAGAAAAGAGTATCATTGTCTCCTCAGTGAATATTGTGCAGTTTAATGCTTTCATGGTAACAACACAGTCAACATGTTAAGATGTACAGTATTGGATAAAGTTAAGCATCAAGAAAATTAGACACTAAATTGTTCATATTGCATCATAATCTTCTGGACAAACAAAAACAAAATGACTTATGATTTATGAATACTGTACTTGTTTATTGTTAATGAAGTTGTTTATGGTTAATGAAGTTGTTTATGGTTAATGCTAAGTTGTTTATGGTTAATGAAGTTGTTTATGGTTAATGAAGTTGTTTATGGTTAATGAAGTTGTTTATGGTTAATGAAGTTGTTTATGGTTAATGAAGTTGTTTATGGTTAATGCTAAGTTGTTTATGGTTAATGCTAAGTTGTTCATGGTTAATGCTAAGTTGTTTGTGATTAATGTAGGGTTATTTGAGATTCAGGCAGAGTTGTTTATTAAGGTAAAGTTATTTATGATTGAGGCAGAGTTGTATTTACAGAGCAGAAGAAAGGGGAGAGGAAGAATTTAGGCATGGAGAGAAGTTAATCTGTTTGAGGGACTTATAAAGAGGAAACTTGATGGCCGGGAGAGTTATACAGTACTTTTATGATATTTATAGCAAGATGTCTTTATCCATCTGTATGATCATGATGGAAACAAACTGAGGCAAGCTAGTTGTGCTTGTACGTATAATCAGCACCCTGTAATTGTAAATGATTTGCCTGGTGTTTGTTCAGTCATATTGTGAAGCTTAAAGTTTCCAAAGGGATTAGGAAACTCAAGTTGGGATGGTTACAAGAATAGAAAGAAAGACAATGCTACTGTATTGTGAGCTGGAGTTAGACTTTGACATGAGGCCAGATTCTCAAAACCCATATTCATGTGTCCTATTTTGAGAAAGGCTAAAGGAATTTAGTGTCAAACATGCTTTGACTTTACTTCAGTTAAGCTTCACTCCTAAACGCATTTTTCCTATGGGAAAAATATCTGTTATATAAAAACAATAAAAGTAAGTTTTTCAGGTTTCATAAATTCCTTTCCAGACACAAAAGCCTTCAGACAAGACAGATGGGAAGACTTCCAAGGAATCAACACCCCGTCACCACTATGAGCGAACTACAGGGACTACAGGTGGGACACTGAAGGGGGTCTGAGTGGAAACAGTCATCAAGATTTCACTACACAGTCTTGTTTACCCCTTCACTTGTGTTGTTCACAGTGTTACTATGAATTATTTTTTAGTCTGATAGGTCCGTGTGATCGTCCCTAACTTTAAAATGTTTATTTGTTTTATCCCAGTTTTCTCAACTTAAACTTCATAAACATGGAAGCAGAGATATGTAGACTAAAGAAAATGTAAATAAGAATTAGGTGTATGTTCCTTGAAGTTGGCTAGTCCTGTAGTTGTAGCATGGTGTGCATGGTACGTCCTAAAAGGTTTCCTTTCACCATCAAAATGTTGGCAGAAGTATGTGAGAGTGCAAGTTGGTAATGAATCGAGCACTAACATGGTAAGACACATATAGCTACGGAGGATCTTTCTCAGGATTTGACCGAGACTTGCAAACCTCATATATTTCTGCCTCATGGACCCAAAACTCGTTTTCTGTTATTCTTGCCTCGTGTTAGTTGACCGTTTTCTGTGTTGTGGTCTCAGAGGAGGGTCTTTTGATCACTTCGCCTTCACGTGACAAGCTTGAACCATTCATCCCCGATGATTGGTCCTCCCGCCGTTCATCACGAAGGACTCCACCAATCACAAGCCCGATGAAAGGTAGTGTCATGTTTCAATGAATGTATTCAGCCATTCAAAATTCAAGCATTTTATTATATGTTCATTGCTTAATTATTACCTTGTTCATGAATAGTATTTGCATCATTATTTGGGAATTTTGAAAGCTAAGTTTTTATTATATTTTGGAAGCCACAACACAAGTATAAACAGTAATATGAGTGATATCTGCTAGTTATTGTAAGGTAAGTGAAAAGTATAAATTTAGTAATTATAGCACTTATGTGTAATTTGAACAATAAATGTGTACGGTATATTTCACAGCCTTTTTGTAATGTGTGGCATTCTCTGCTTCCATAAAACTGGAATGCTTAGTAATTGCATTGAGGCTATAAGTAAGCTTATTGTGAATGACTAGAACTTACAGTATTTACTATCGTATATCTATTTCAGGTGTACTTGATGCTAATTGAATATTGCAATGTGGGGCATTGTTGAGCTTGTTAATACATGGGCCAAGCAGCAAGAGCGCCAAGCAGCGTGTCGGCTAACGTTTTGTCTTGGTGCTGCTTATAGCATGATATGAATGTGGCAGATCTCTTCCAGGCAGTGCGTAGGCAATCAGAGGAAAATTTAGGCAAACAAAATTTAGAAAGTTAATTCTCAGAGATGGTCTGTTTTTAGCACTATAATTAAGAACTTAATATAATGAAAGTACAAAAAAAATTACAGGTTGATTTTTGTATAAAACCTAAGCCGTAGTTTTAATTGATAGTATTTTTTCATTTTACATTTTTTGTAGCCCCATTTTAGATTTTTTGTGCAAACAATAAATTTTTTCTATTGGTTTTGAATGTAGTGTTTGTTAATTTGTATGAAGTTGTAATCCAGCTACATATAGCTTCTATACATGGATATATATAGCTCCTAAGACTTTTAGCTTTTAAGATGTATATATTGCAACTTTTAGAGAGATGTGTAGTAGTACAGTAATTAGATTTTATAAATGCCAGTCAACTTGTTCTTTAAGAAGACCCTTGTGTTACAGTGAAACACAAGTGTTTTTCTCAAGAGATGACGAACCAGTGTGTTGCTTCAAGATTCCATTCCCAAGTTATTCATGATACCTAAATCCTCTGTGTCCTACGTCCTCATATTGATTACTTAATACAGGTGTTTCTTAATATTGATTGTTAAGTTTTGCTGTAGTATGAAGTTTGAGTTTTTAAATTCTGCTCTCTCTATTTTAATATTCCATATCAAAATTATTCAAAGAAAAATATGTTGCCATAAAGATATACAATACAAGAATAAGCGGTATAGATTAATCTGTATCATTCACAGTACGGTAATCATTACTCTTTTAATAATAATACTGTAGTCCAGTATCATATTAACTGAGATGATATACTAACCTGTATGAGGTAATCAATCCTTCGTGTCTCCAGTGGCCCACCTCTTGCACCGCCTGGTAGAGAAACCTTCGCCTTGCATGTCCCGCCCCTGTGTTTCAGATGGCCCCAGCAGACGAAGGTCGAACCGAGCCTCCTCCGCTGCAAGACCACCCCCCACCAAGGACTGTAGGTCCTCTGTAGGTATGACCCTGCTGCCCTCTTTCCTCACAGGCTATGTGACGTTGATTTCATTGAGCAAGAGATGGGTGATTTCTGATGTGTTTGAGTAGTTATTAATTTCATACTTAATTTAATTTTTCTGGAGATCCCATTGATATTGCATAACTAAATAAGCAGTCTATCTCCTGAAACATCAAGATCTAGATATCATGTTTAAGTAATAACTGGGTAATAACTCTGATGACAATGAGAGCTACATATGCCTCCATAACTAGGTACTAACTGGAGGCCTAGGAAGCAGCTGGACTCCTGGGCACCCACACATGTCCTAACAAATTCCCTTGTCAACGTCAACCCCATTGAATTTCCCTTATTGAGCATCCTCCCTATACTAAAAGTAAGCTGTGCACTAAGGCTTTGAAAACTGGACTAGAACTAAACGCTTTATGAAATGCAGTTGTGGAAAAATCACTTAATCGGAATCTATACAAGCCTCACATGATACAGGTATTCACCTTTTAGTCATGTAAAATACATGCAGTATTAAATGGATGCAGTAATAGGTTTGACATAATCCCATACACAAGTGATTTGTAAGTCACAGCTTCCCTTTAGATCAGCATCCCCCAATGTTTGCCAGTTTGAGTATGAGCAAGTCTCCTAGCCACAACCTTAAAGGTAGAGTATCTTTAACAACTTATCTCTCTCCATGCATGTTTCTTCAGATAGTTTATATTAAAAGTTTCTTTCCCTGGTATCAGTCATATCTCAGATACATATTACTGTATGTAAACTTGATTAGCTATACTATACACATAAACACTTTTATGTGTATACAGTAGTTTATCATTATTATAAAGGAACTACAAGTTATTGCTTATGGACTTTTAATATACTGTACTGTATTATGTTTCTTATTCATCATCCAGTGCATTATCAGTATCATTGCCTGTCTACTCTTGCGTCAGAATGTATTACCCTTGCTAACATGTTATTTTGCTTAGGGTAACTTTATCTATTGTCATCCTGGCATAAGATATACAGATTGAAAAATAGAGCCATAGATTTGTTCTTCCATTCACATTATAGATTATTCCAGTCTTCATAGGCATGTACTTGCTCTATATCTTGACTATAAATAATGCACTTATTTTCAGAACCATATTGCACACCACTATACAGCACATATGATTGTATAAATCCTCAATGAAAAAACCTGTTTGAAAAATGCACAAGCACTGCACAATTTAAACTCATAACTCCAATTCATTATATATTAAATTTAGTGTACAGTATACCATTAAAGTTCTCAGCAAATACATGGCAAATGCACTCCACAGGAGGTCGGTCCGTCAGTGTGGGTCCTGAAAATCGGTCCCCCAAACGAACGTCTCGTCCCCCATCTACCCACGCAACGGCACCCGCAACTAAACCAGAGCGACGTCCTCGACCTAGTAAGTACACAAGAGCTAGTGTTGATTAGATGTTGTTGTTGATAGCAGTGAATAAGAGTGGGAGCAATGAAGGATGCTGAACTTGGTGTAAGGAATCAGTCTTATCATGAGTACACTGTAATTAAGCCTCAGTTATTGTCAGATTTTTCTGGATGAACAGATTTAGATACTTGAATCCTTGCAGTTTGTGATACATATTTATTAATTTGTATGTCATTCAGATATTTTGAAGCTGGGATTTATTTTTATGCTTCATTTTCGTGTAGATATTTAGTATCCATTATCAGAATGATAACTCCTTAGACTTAATGTCCTTGGAGAGTCACACTAATGTTAGTTATAACTTTACTAAGAATTTCATGGTTTATTGGACAAATTAATGGAGCATTGTGTGATTTTTACAGGAAGTTTAGTAAGCATATCCTATCCTACATCAGCATTCTCTCACTGCTGTGCAAAAGTACTTCAGTTGACACAAGTTTAGGAAGGAGGATGATGGGTCAAAATATTAGAGTGACTGGTTGCATGGTGTAGATAACAGTCAAACAGTAAAGACCTGAATGAGTGATTATGTCAGGACATAGTAATTTGACCATTTGGACTAGGTCAGTATGCATTGTCTTCACCTGGAATTTACTACAGTATTATTATTTTTGTATGAATTGTATGCTTTTTTAATCTTCAGTGTTTGGCTATATGTTGAATCTCTTCTGTCTGTATCAGGTTTTTGTGTTTTTAGTGATCTTTACAGAACTAGTGACAGTGTGCTTCTGGCTTTACAAGATTTTTCCTTTTGTTCTTATTTTAGATTAAGTTTTACGTATTTTTCAGTCTTATACATGCAACTTGCTAAGTATGATACTTTGTTAGTCTTTCCAAATATTTTACCTATTCTGACTTTTTTGTGAACCAGGGAATTTTGACAAAAGATTCATTTTCAATAATACAGAGAATAATTTTCTTTTGTAAATGGATTTGTAAAATATTAAGACAATAAGCAAGTTGTTCTTGGAAACTAGTAGTGGGTATTGGGAGATTTGATGATTAATTCACTTTGAATAAACTTGTGTAATGTGGAATAATATCAGAAGTTAAATAGACTAATACTACTTTCTTTCTTATCATTAGAGTTCTATATTTAGGATATTATAATAATAAGTCACTTCAGTTATCATTGACTAAAATTTGCAACAAGTCTCTTCCAATAGAAAGCATTATCTTTCTTGTTTCTCTTAAGAAAAAGTGTTGTAAGTTATGAAAAGATTTTTATCCTATATACAGTATGAGCTTCTTCAGCATTAGGTTCACTAACATGAAGACAAAAATGAAAGAATTTAACCTTTCAAAATAAATATAAATTTTGGGACATAAATTTCCCTAATGTGTACTTACAGGAGCCACAGTATACTAAAAAAAACTTATTATAGTATATTTTTGTCTACTACTACAGTACTCCATTGTGGTTATTTCCCACTTAACATTGACATGAACAAGTTAAGGATCCAGTGTACTGAAATTTGTTAGGAGCATTTTGAAATATCATTACATATACTGTACTGTATTATACACTGATTACCTACTGCAGGTTATTACAATCATCTTATTATAACTATGATATCAATTAAAAACCTGAAATTGGTATCACATAGATGGATGGATGAATATATCTCACACACACACACACACACACACACGCACCTGCACACACTCACACACACACACACATGCACACACACACACACACACATGCACACACACACACACACGCACACACACACACACACACACACACATGCACACACACACACATGCACCTGCACACACTCACACGCGCACACACACACACACACACACAACACACACGAGTACCTGATAAAAGTTTACCTATGAAAATATTTGAATTATGAAATTATGAACATTTCAATCTTTGTCATATGAAGGATTAAGCATGCCACTTCTTAAGACTGTGGTGACACTTATCTGTGAGAATGACAGTTATATAGAATACAATTCCCCTTTTGACAATCTACCAGGGGTCATCTTAGCATATATATATATATATATATATATATATACCGTACAGTACATTATTTGAGTTTCTGATCAGTTTCTCATTAAACAAAAACATTTGGAGGAAAATTTATGCTATAAGGTTGCTCAGGAGGAATTTAATGTACTGTAATTTTAAAGATAAATTTCACCAAAGATAATATCCTCAACATGTTAGTGAAATCGGCAGTACAGCTGCTATAATTATTCCTTGGTTATTGGAAGACAATGTATAAATCCCATAACACTATCAAACGTTAAAATCTTTATAAACACGTATTTGAGACTCATGCAAGTGGCATTCTAACACATCCAGAAATCAGCGGGAACAAAAGCTATGCAAAAAAAATTACTCAGTGTACATGGTAATCATATACTGTACAAACAAAATCACAAGCTAAGTTTTAAAATTCTGAAGATGATTCCTGGAATTTGATGTTGACTTTCTGCAGTGTTTTTTTGGCTGTATGGTCAGTGTAAGCAGCTGCTTTGCTCTCTGCGCCTTGATCATCTGTACAGCTGCGTAGGATGAGTAGAATATTAGATTTGACATTAGACATTGAATGTAAACTCGGCTTCAAATTGCTAAACCAATGGATAGACGGCGATTAATTTTTATTTGAAATATATTGTTGTTTGGTAATATGATTAATAAGATAAAGGAGCCCTGAGAAATCAATGTCTAATGTGATTCTGAGTGTTGTGTATTATGGATATACTGTACAGTATTTAGTTGGTGTACTTGAGGGATGGTCAGGCCTTGAGAATTGTGGCTGTTATTGTAGTGAACTGTCATGTGTGTACAGATACATGATTTATGGAACACTTTCAATATCGTATGAAGACAAAAATGTTAACCTAAGGTAAATATATGCTTCCATACACATACTAGAATTTTAGTGTTTACTGAAAATATCAGTAAGATTTTCAAAAGGTTTTAAAAGGTCATTTGCAAATTGCAGTACAGTAAAGTATTTTAAAGTCAAAAGAATCAACTCACTGACTTGGGGGTTTCTGTGGTCATTTACTTATTTAAGTAATTAAAGAATTACACTTTTCTTCTCTATTTAATGACATTTTTCAGAACATATTTATTCAGCTGTTGGGGCCAGTCAGTGCTAAAACACCTTCCTAAAGCACTGATTTTGTCATCTAAAATTATTTAAGAATTTGTAATTTTTATTGAGTTAGGATTTTCAAGATTATACAATAGTATTTAGTTTTTGGTAAATGTAGAACATATTGGAAATACCCAGAAATTAATGACAGTATTTTTCTCCATCCAAAATAACTACACAGTATTGCATTTTGCTCTTATAGTAAATAGTTTTGTCATCAAACCTTGGTACATGTAATTGAATATTCAACCAATTTTTCCTCAGCATTTCCAATAAGTATTTTCATTTGGACTCTTTAAGAGAATGTTCAAAATTTTTACTTGTTTTAATGCACACTAGGTTAAGACCCACCCTTGTTTCTTTACTAGCTTGAGAGACCTTTAATCCCAAGTTAGGTTAAAAATTTAGACACATATTTCCCAAGATGGAGAAAACAGAATATTCAGAGATCTTCTTATGCACAAAAAATGATATTGCCAAAAAATATATATTGAATACACTCCAAACAAACAATATCTAGTCACATTTGTCATGTTTCACTGTTGCTGTGTATAAAACTGTTATATTTTATATCATTGAGGACTGTGAGTTGTTAGTTTGCTTAGGTAACTTCAAGATGTGTTTTGATGGTAAGATTGTTGTGAGAGAGCATTTATATAGATAACGGTGTATAATGTTAAGTATTTACAGATTTAGTGTACTGTATATATGTCCAGTTATAAGCCTGACTACAGAAGGATCATCCGTATTAGATAACGAGGATGGCTACAGATATTTAGAAGTAATGTAATGTACAGTAGAATATAAGCTTTCTTAGAGTTTATTGGATCTAGAAGTGCAGACTTACTCTCCTAGTTGCAACAAATTGGGATAGAAACATAGAAGAAACTTGGGAGTTGTTTTGTGTAAGCAGAAACAGTAGGTTTACCTCGCAAACTAGTTAGTTCGGAATTTCCTTTTGGACCTGACAATCTGTGGGATACAACAACACTTATCCACAACTATACAGCTACCATATTATTCATCCGTTTTTAAGCACTTAAACGTTTCAGTGATTTACCTCACCCAATATCTTAGCTGCCCATTCTGCCATTAAGTTTTGAAGGAGTGTTTCTGAGAGAGATTATTACCTGGCAGTTGTACAGTAATTACAGCTCAAACTTTCTCACTTGTAGAACAGGTAAAAGAGGCAATGTCTTGATGTTGGGATGTATATGTAGCATACTGAAATGACTTCACATTTCCTGTCAACCAAATGATTTAACTTCCTATAACTTATGAAGTAAATATCATGCTGGTATATGGTAACAAAGTTAACTTGTGGCATTACTGAGGATAACGCATACAAATCCTGGTGCTTGACAGTGCACACCTTCCTCTACTATAATGTACTGTATTCATCTTTAGTTATAGACACATATAATTTCTTCAGTTTTAACATTCTTTCTCTCTTCAAACTTTTACTCTTGAGAAAATTACTGTTCATATTGGCCAACTACAATGTGCACAAGTGAAATATGGGTATTTTAGTAGATAGTGGGCAGAAAATTTATACTGCATGTGGCAAGATTTTTGTGATGTTTGAAATGTTGGTATAAATCTTCATGCTGCATCCTGGTCTGAGTGTTGGAAGTGTGCCTATGGGGGTATTATTAATATCTGTAGGAATTAGAAAAGGTCGAGTTAGGAGTGAAAATTGGGAACTTACGGGTTATGTGGATATATTAATAGATTTTCAGATATAACCATTGTGGACATGTTTGTGACTACTGGTGTTTGTGACTACAGGTGTTTGTGACTACTGGTGTTTGTGACTACAGGTGTTTGTGACAACAGGTGTTTGTGACTACTGGTGTTTTGTGACTACAGGTGTTTATGCAGTCAGGTGTTTGACTAAAGGTGTTTGTGACTACAGGTACAGTCAACCAAAGATGCATCGACCCCACCCTGGCTCTCTTACTCGCAATTTTACCTGGCAACACTTGGTGAAGTAAGGCTGTTTGAAATGGCGATTGTGATTGATAGATCATTTTCGGTTGTATCTCTGTCAGGATAAATGTTAAGCAATTCAAAGGTAGCATTTTTATAGTATTAAGCTATTCGTCGTTATTTAAGATCGTGAGAAGTTTTTAAATGTTTATTTGCTTTAATGAAAGAAATTTGATGTGCGAATCTTGTGTCAGTCCTGGTTGTAGTTGAGTAGCCAATTTATCAATATAATTTCTTCATTATTTAAGCAAATATACGAACATTTTGAAAATTGTCATGATCATGGATAATAATGAATAGTGTATCATTATAAAACTGCTACCTTTGAATTGTTTAACATTTATCCTGACAGTGATACAACCGAAAATAGATATATCAATCACAATCGTCATTACAAGCAGCCTTACTTCACCAAGTGTTGCCAGGTAAAATTGCGAGTAAGGTAGCCAGGGTGGAGTCGATGCATCTTTGGTTGACTGTGCATGGTTGACGAAAGCTCTTAAATGTAAGTGTGCATGGAAGACTCGAGGGCTCTTAATAAGACTCCAAGTACTGTATTACAATGTTTAGTTTAACAGCCCTGGTAAGTAGAGTAGTTTGTTATGGGTTGCTGACTGAACTTGCCTATCAGTGGTGCTTTGAGGAATGCATTATTTTCAGATATTGTATAAAAAACACTGAGTCAAATGGTATACAATAATGAAAGAGATATTAATAGAAGACTTTAAAGGGGTATATAAGAAGTAGGTATTGAGTGTGTTCATAAAAGAGAATATTAAAATATTTAATAGTTTGCGAGACGAATGTTTTATGTAGGTGTGAAGTTGGATTCATCGCCGAAGCAGTTTCATGTAATTATATTTAAATCAGAAAGAGTGTTGCATGGGTGAATATAATTACTGAAAATAATTGTATTGAAGTACTGTATAGAATATATTTTGGGGATGGGATGACTTTAGAGAACTCTTTAAGTAAACAGAGGTTTGGAGTGGGAGTATGAGAGGAAGTAAAGGCTTAGATAGGGTTTACAGAATTAAAAAAGTTATTTTCAAAATGTTGTGGCGGCTTGATCTTCCAGACACAGTATCCTTCATTTATACACCCACATCTACACCCACATCCAGTTATAGAAATAATATATTGAGCTGTACTGGACTCAGCCTACCAAAATTTTAGTCCGATTGTCTGTCTTTGTCTACCCATCTCTTTAACCCTTTAGGTGCGTAATTAAATTTCGCGCCGGTTCCTGAAAAGTGTCAATTATCCTGCCAAAAATGAATTTCATATAATCACATTTTCTATATGTTTTTCCTAGAGAACTTTTTGTATATTTTCCAAATCTGGAACAAAAATTCACATATGTGTGCAAATTTTAGAGAAAAAATGACATTTATACCCAAAAATGCAGGAAATTGGTATAAATCAATGTCTGGTATATGGCAAATAAATTTAATCAATTTGGTTACTAAACAGCAAATTTAGATATGTATTACATATTCAGATAATATCAAACAAAATAGTACAAAAATAAGCTATATTGCATTCAGGAAATACTCCTATACCTCAATACATAATATGTCCGCATGTCGTCTCATTTGGGGAAGTTTTTTCAAGGCCGTGGGATATCCCCGCTTGTCGCATTTAATTAATATAATATTTTGGGCGGGTTTACCCGCATGCCGCATCCAAAGGGTTAAATAAGATAGTTTCTCAATGATAACTCGCATTGTCTATTTACCCATAAGTGGCCACAACATATTACTGGTAGTGACCCTCTTACTTTTCTGTTTTTTAATTCAGTTTACAGTATGTTATGTTCGTTTTTCTTTTTCCTCATGTACAGTATACAGGGTAATGGGATTTCTGTGAGCATTAGAAAATAGTTACCATATACCACCTATGTGAAAATTTAAATGGTTTTCAGTAGTACTGTATAATTATAAAAGGGAAAAAGTAGGTCATTGTAATGTCTTACTCCAGTTCCTACACTTATCGTACAGTATATTAATGTGTGTCCTCTCAGAGTGTAGTTTTAGTGGTTCTTTGTGGACTTTAGCCCCCAATCTCATCTTTAATAAACATCAAGTTCATCCATCAACTTATTCGTTGATTTTGGAATAATCAGTCACTTAACCATGGGTGCATACAGAAGCATTGCCCAAGGGGAAAAAAACTGATACTTTTTTCTCCAGTTGCTTTATCAGTCACACCTCACCCTCAGTGTTTCTTCTCAGACTTCACCACCTGTGTAAGATTTGCTGTTTACCAATTTTCTCCAATTCATTGCTCACCTTTTCTTTCACCCTCCTCTGTTTTTTCCTCTTTCTATGCTTCAATAGTCCCATTGTACTGTTCCATTGTTTTCACATGTATTCCTATTTTTCTTGTGCAAAGTGGTAACAAAATTAGTCATGTAACAAACAAACTGGGAGGAAGATTTCTTTATGAATATTATGAACTACAATTTTGGTCTTCAACACATTCTGTTTAGACTATAGATGGTAAGAGTAACATTATGTGAGCAGTAGCCTTTTACAGGAGCATCAGTCAGGTCCCTCCAGGAAAAAAAATGTTAGCCTGTTCTATAGTTCACCACTTCCATTAAGCCATTTTCTGTTGGTAGTATAATTCTAATAAGTAAGCAAGCCACAGTGTTGGAAGGAAAACGGGCACAGTATAAGAAATACACTGTACTATAAATAGGTTGGCATAAAATTAAAGGCTTAAGTACTATTTGGAAGATTGTAAATGTTTAGTTTTATATCATCATTTTGTTATAACAGTGATATAGTGGTTACCACCTCTGATTGGTTGTGTTTAGAAGACCCTTCCCCTCAGAGAAGAATGGGAGTTGCTTTAGAAAATTTTGGTAGATATTGTCTTCTCCTTGTATTAAGTACAGTAAATTAGTTATATTTTTATTTTTATATAATAATTCACCTAGATGGGACGTTTTAAGGATCTGCAGCTTAACAGTTATATCACTTTTCATTTATTTGCACTGAGAGGATGCATGGAAAGTCTAACCTTAGGCATACACTGAGAGGATGCATGGAAAGTCTAACCTTAGGCATATACCATTGGGTATCTTCATGCCTTTAAATATTATGGACACAAGATTTGCCTCGATTTCTTTTGAAAAATTTCTGCATACTGTTTAGGTTACAAGGTTAATGAAATAGTTGCCACTTGTTTGCACAAATAAATTTGAATATGAGAGAATGTGGGTTGTCTAATTTTCTGTATTTAGGAGACAATAGAAGCAAGGAAAGCAGAAAATAATACAAGTAAAAGCAGGTTAAGAAAGACAATACCAAGAAATGAAAAGGAGAACATTCTAATATGAATGTAAAGTTTGGGAATGTGTGTGCTGGGCTGATATATAAGTTGTTATATAAGATACCGGTAAACCAGAAAAAAAATTCAGATGTGGTGAGAACACCCTGCCATCATAGTGTTGTGAAAGACACCTGAGGTCGTGTTATATACTGACAAGAATTGGCTGTGCACTGTACTGTATAAAATTAAGTTTGTTTAGATATGAGTTAGCCTATAATTTGTTGCTTCAAAAGGCACCTAAGATCATATAATCCATTTGCAACAAGATTCATATATGATTTTTAAAATGAATCATGTCGTAATGCAACTTTTACTTTAACTTGCTGTTTAGAAAGACATGATAAATCATGTTATGTTTTTTGTCATGAGAGTCAATTTGAAAAATAATTTTTTTTAATTTCGACCATACCGGTACATTACTTGGCAATTAATATAAATATCTTTATCGTTAATATTTGCTGATTATGATACATTATTCATGACGTTCTGGACACACAGATCTGAAGTCTTAATCCAGCACACACTTGAATAACATGAACTGTGTGTCATTACTCTGACCTGACAAAAGTGAGACATTATTATACAGTATGAGTAAACATATCTTGATTCTAATACATTTAGTTACAGTATAAGGAGTATTGATGATTTGAGCTGGTTTAGAAATTTTAAGTCATGGAGTAATTTATGTATTTATCCCATAAAATACATTCTTTATTTTACTCCTAAAATACAACATGCACACATTTCTCCACATCTTAGTAATTTAAGTTTTTTTTTTTTTTAGTTTTTAAGTTATCGGTAATAAATTTAATATATCCAAGTAATCAACTTCTTGATAATTTGGTTCTTCATCAAACACCTCAAAAAGAAGTGCACAGGCATGTCCCATTTTAGTGCCATCTTGTGAGACAAACTTGCAGACATTTGTTATGTATGTAGCTTCTCTCCCTTACCACAAACCACCACCCAGCAGCTTGCCAGGTCCATTACATAGGCACGATGCTCTTTTTCTAGCGTCCCTCTCCACTAGTGCTCGTCGCAAGGGTACAGACGCTTTGCCCCACCGCCCCTCCTCCCATGATGAGGGTAGAGAGCCTAAGAAAGCCTCTAAAGCTAAGCCTCATGACCCCACTGCTTCGCCTAAGAAGGGTGAGGACAAGAGCAAAGTGGAGAAAAAACATATTAGTAAGTAGGATTGAAAAAAATGCAACTTAGTAAGTAGTATTGGTGGGAAAGCAATTTTTTTCTTACTGCCGCACTTCGTTAATCCGATTACCACGTTCGTCTTCTGTGGGATATACTTTTCAGTACAAAGGCATATCATGGAATAAAAGTGAAACCACTAAGCAGTGTGCATGATGGGAGAGGAGAAACCCTGAATTATCATTATTTTTCAAACAAACCCAATGTATCTTTATCGAAAGAATACCTGTACAAAGGTTACCCCATTGTCTGAACTACCAGATGGAAATGTTTCGGATAAACGAGGGTCGGATTAAAGAGTGTCATGTAGTGAGTAGAGACCCATGCTCGCAGGTGCGTTGGTTTATTGTCTACCCTTCAGCCTTCCATGTGTTCCCCAACCTTTGTTTGATTTTGCTCCATGCCAGAGGGTAAAGGGAAATTTCTATGTTATTTACAGTATATACAGTATTAACATTATGCAGTTATAAATTCTGTCATGTATAGTGGAGAGGCCAATTGTACTAACTACTACACAATTTAAAGAAAACATGGCAGGAATTTAAACCTGTATATGAAAATTATACTGAAATAGGGTCGATAACATTTTAAGTCTTTTATTAATAGCTGCGATTGAAAGTCCATTTACCTGACAAAGTTTCTTTGTACAATTTCATATCCTATATTACTGAATTGCATTAAGTGATTTTAAATATGTGAAGTAGTTGGAACATGTACAGATCTTATCAGATGTATTTCCTCCTGAGTTTAAGCTATCTATGCAACCAAATCTCCATTTTACATTTCCCTCAACCCTGGCAATGTCAGAGAATGCAGTCCCATTATTTGGGTAGCTACAGGCATCCTATACCTTTTAGTTGGTTTTCCTTATGTAATTTTCACTTGATATGAAAATTAATAATTGTTTGTCTCGTGCAGTTATCTTTGTATTTCTTGAGTTGAAGTGTATTTGTTCATGGATGATTTGATTATGATGATGTCAAGGCTTTCTATGAATGCATTCCCATGTGTTGGAATCTTTAATTTGATATAAATTGTTCTCCCCTGTGAAATTAGTGCAACTAATCATTTACTTATGAACGATTCTCTAGTAAGATGGAAATGTGGTAATTGGAAACTATTTAGTTTGCACATAATGTTTTATGTTGTAGACACACACACACACACACACAGTCTTGTTTGTTTGTGGCTCTTTGTGTTTTTTCTCATTCTTTCTCTCACTCTCTCTCTCTCTCTCTTTCTCTTGGTGAGTGGGCTTGGTTTGTTGCTTTGAACATGACTGTACTATCCTTTCTTAGAGTCACTCTCTCTCTCTCTATCTTTTGATTGCATTTATCAAGTTCTTTTGGGTGTTCATTTATGTTTATTATCTATAGTTGTTGCAGTTTTCATTTACAATTTTAATATTGGTGAAGGTTAGTCTTTGTTTTTTATTTATAATGATTTTTAAGTTAAAGTACTTTTCGTATTGGAATGTAGTTAATTTTTTGCAAATGCAAATTACAATAAATTTGTCTAAGTTTTGCAATAATAAGAAATATAGTAAATTAAGTGCATTTTAATCCATGAATGACATATAGCACTTTCAGTAGAGAAGAATTGCATGTTGGTTTGTCAACAAACTCTAGAATAATTATAGCAGTTATTGCATTGGACTCACCATAATGACCCCAGGGAATATATCATGTTCTGGACATTGCCATAATATATGGTATCTCAACAGGTGAAGAAACTGACATCAAGAAGGATAAAGAAAAGGAAATCCTCCCCAAAGATGGACCTAAGGATATCTTGAAGGATATTGCACCAAAAGATGGTTCTAAAGAACCTGTGGAAGCTGTTAAGGAATCAACTGCACGGAAATCCACCCCCGAACCTCGATTTGACCCGGAGAAGTATGAACCTGTGGTAAAAACACCACCCGAACCGACCCGGGTCAAGTCGCCTGATCAGGTTGGTAAATGGGTATGTTTTCTCGGGACTTTTACACTCTCTTTTGTTCTTTTGTAGTGGAAAGTTCACGTTTGCATAGTGATGTTGTGGCTTGGTAATGCAATCTGCTTTAAGGCATCAGACAATTCTTTTGGTAAATTTTTCTGTTTTAGAGAAATTCTGTAATTTTAAATACAAGGACTGTTTACACCCTCAAATCTGGAACCCTTGGGACAAAGACTAAATTAGTTTTTGGGATTTTCATGTTTCCTGGGTCTTAGGTCATCCATCTGATACCCTTGACCTACCAGTAGACTCAAGTTTTCCTTCCACACGCTTGCACATACTAACTTGAACATCATTGTATACAGTACATATATTAAATAAAAAATAATTAAATTTAGTGTTTTTATAAGTTGAAAGTTACCTACTGTAGGTAACCTTATGTAACACTGAATCTAGGGCTAGTTTACATCTGATTTCCAGCAACTTCTCATGGGTGAAGACATTTGCAAGACACAAACACTACAGTATATACGTAAGATAGGAAAGTAGCTGTCCTAAGCACAGCATAAAATGTGCTGTCAAACAGTGGTGCCATCTATTGGATTTCCAGCAAAATCAGATATTTCCAGATGTGTTATTCTTGCTAGACATTTCATGAAGTCAATTGTTACCTTATTCAGCCATATATTTAGATGAATTATAAAATACTGTAGGTGTGTTGAATCTCCCAGACATTACATGTCTGCTGTCAGACGACAAACCTTAGCACAGCCATCTAGCAAATTTCCAACAAAACTTCACTATTTGTGCGTCACACAACAAGGGAGTCTCTTTTCCTCTCTTCTGTATATACAGTAGTCTGTGTACAGGAAGTAAGACAGAGTTCATAGATAATTAACTATCATCTGATTGAATAATTAACCTAATACCTTGATTTTTTTTTATATTTATGTATACTGTATAAGTAAAATACCTGTATTGTGTTCATGTACCCTTTGAAATTTAAATTGGTCAAATGAAACCAAAGATTCTAGGTAACTTATGCCCGATGCTTCTTGTGTCATATTAGGGCATACAGATGATGGTCCTGCTGTTTTCTTGAAAAAAAGAAGAGTTAGCTTAACACAGAAATTAATAAATCTAAAATTATTATTTTAAAAATGAATTTACAGCGTTTAGTCTAATAATTGTAATTACAGTAAGATACGGTATATTGTATCTTTAACATTATACTAATTAAGAAAAAACAAACCACCATAATACAGTATTAAAAATATGAAAATAAAGTTGAGGGTTGAGGCAGCACTCCTCTCCACAATATTACATTATTTATTATTGGAAATTGCTTTGATTTGAATATTTCGTTTGCATGACCATCTTCAAGAAGAAAAAAATTATGGTATCATTACATTGCCGTATACACATGTAACGTGCGACATGGTGGGACCGGCAAATATTCCTGATACCGGAACACATTCTCAATTCTAGTGATCAGCTATTTTTGTTATAGAGAATTCCAACATTGAGAGATATTACTACACTTAGTTATGAACTCTACTTGTAAATGTCTCCATGCATGATAAGTTGCTGAGGGTCAGATGTAAACAAACCCAAGATACAGAGTTATGTTCCCCTACCCTGGCAATTTTTAACTTATAAAAAAGACTGTACAGTAATTAATGATTTAACAAAAAAAAGCATGCATATAATGTTTTCTTTATTTTGTTATTTAAGAAGTAAAAAAAAGCTCATCAGAGTTTGTATGGAAGCAAAACTTCACATATCGAGGGAAAAAATTTACCTAAATCAAGGAAGAAAATGTCCAGTATTTAAGAGTCTCCAATTTTCTGAGGTCTGGTTTTGAGGGTCTGTCATATATTAGAAATAAGTACCAGTCTCAGTGCAAAAATTGTCAAATAGCAATGAAATAAACACAATCTGATATAAACACAATCTGATTAGGTTGACATAAAGGATGAAGTATATTTCATCTATTTAAATTTTATACATAGAGTAGTTTATACCCAGTTTCAATATGCCACAAAGTAGCTTAGGTTGCATGCTAGTGTTTGTGAATGTTTTAATTATCGCGCCATAAATTGAAAATCTTATTAAGGCCTTGAATTAACTGTATACATGAAATACTGCGCTGTGGATGACTGTTACTTTTCTTCATTGGACTATTTTGCTGACATTTGATGACCATGGATCAATGTAATCAATATAATAAATGTTTATAGTGCATGTGTGATTTGATTTAAGGTGTGTAAGGGATGTTAGAGAATAAACATCCATTCCGATATATTTAGGAGCCAGTTGATGCCCAGTACTTGCCAGCAGTGCATAACAGAGACGCGACCGACCGCCCAATCGGCTAACGAGCCGATCAGTGGTGGAGAGGATAAAAATAAAGTAAAAGTATATCCTAAAATAAGTTCAAAGGAAAGTGAGGTGGTCAATATTTTTTTACTACCAAATCAAAATGCAAGAATACATTTTTTTCAGCCATGAGTTACAGTATTTCAGGAGTTAATTATGTTAAAAGAATATTAGAAACTGTATGTTTCTTAGAGATTGTATTTATCTTCCTGTCATATGGTCTCTGTCAATTGTCTTTTCCTATCACTTCTCTTTTCCTGTTCTGTCTCTTCCTAGCATGTGTGTCTCTTCCTATTCAGGGGTTGATCCAGGGGGGTCCTGGGGTCCAGACTCCCCCTTATTATCAGAAAATTCCAATACTTTTTCTTTAAGCAGTATTGTACTCGGGCATTTTTGTATAGTAAAAAGTAGTTACTATTGTCCTCGAGTATCTCCTAATATCAAGTGCACATGGCTTCAAAATGGCCTCAAAATGCCCATGATGTTGGTCAGATTGAAAAAAAAATTCTGCTGGGGGGCTTACAGCACCCTCTCCTAGCTGGGTAGGCTCACTGTGTTCGCCAGGTTCTCTCACCAACAACTTCTTGGACCCCCTTCTTTTGATATTCCTGGATCCACCTCTGCTGTTATAACTCTCTCCTGATGATGCCTTACTTCCTGCTATGCCCCTCTTACTGCTATGCCTTACTTCCTGTTATGCCCCTCTTACTGCTATGTCTCACTTCCTGTTATGTATGTAGCCTCCTGTTGTGTTTCTTCCTGTCATATGTGTTATGTGTTTCTTCCTGTCATATGTCTTTCTCCATCATGTGTGTGTGTTTATCATTTCATTTTCATTTGACAGTTTCTCATGATCATCATATCTCAGTTTTACTCACCCTCACCTGGCTCTCACTTTACTCTCCTCAGTTTCCTCTTACACCCTCACTTGGCTCTCACTTTACTCTCCTCAGTTTCCTCTTACACCCTCACTTGGCTCTCACTTTACTCTCCTCAGTTTCCTCTTACTGCACACCCTCACCTGGCTCTCACTTTCCTCCCCTTTTTATCTTTGTGTTGTCCTCCCTCTAGCTGAGTACAGTAGTTATAGAGTATCTATAAAAAGTGAATGGCATGCTATGAATGCAAATTTTATATCTAATTCATGATGCTGTACTGTATATAAGTTTGTGCCTTTTGCATTCAGACACTTTATACAGTATTCAAGTTTCTTACTTAATTAGTAATAAGTTTTAACTGCTAATGAAATTGAATATAAATCCTTCAGATTTCATTTACTAAGTAACATACAGTATACAAATTTTGTTTTCTAGTGTACAGATATCAGATAAATTCTTTGCAGTTGAGCTTCTTCTTCTCTCTTATGTTTAATGATCTAATTATTTATGGTAATAATTAACAGTAATTATTTTTATTTATTTATTTTATTCAGGTTATGGTGAAAAGCCCAGACCCAGTGAACTGGACTGTTCCCCTAGACACCGGCAAGACGTTTACCGTGACGCACAACATCCCCGAAGGTATGAATTTCTATTTGGCTTGTTGTATATACAGTATTGTCTATATTTGACACTTAATCTTGATCCATATGACAGTGATATTATGCTGTCAGTGGAAATAGTAAACTGGGCTTAATTATTCTAAATATTGCATCTCTAAAACAAATTATCTGCCAGAGGTTGGTGGTTGAAACTGCTGCTTATGTCATAAAAGAAAATATCCGTATAAGATTTTTTATATAGCATGACATATATTTTGAGCATCAAATGAAATACTTCACTGAATCTGCAGTGCATTATTATGAGATTTCCATAAAAGGATGTTGATGTGTTGCATTTCAGCAGTACTTGAATACTTGTACATAAATTTGTAGACTCAGAAATGATAGTTTTTTTTACACACCATTATAATATTGGTACAAAGTCACTCTACTATCGTTGGTAAGATCTTAATAACCGTTTCTAAGATTACTATACTGTAACAGGGCTTTTTTCTCTTAGTTTTCTCTTGAAAAAATTACTGACACTTGGAAGGTAATAGGAAATATCTGTTCCATAAGATTATTCTATTTTTATGTATAATTTCCCCTGAGTCGATGGGATACAAATATGCTGCAGGTATTTCTATAATACAGTAGTTGTGAAGGATTAGTCATCTTATTTTAAAACCAAAATTTTTTTGTCTGAAATCTTACACATGGGCCATTGAGATTTTCCTCATGTTAGATGTATGAAGTACAGTATACAGTCATCAAGCTTGATGGGTTCTGCTTCAGTTTTACAGATTCACTGACTCTACCACTTCCTGTCCATTCTGTTGATTAGTATATACAGGTTGTACCTCTCTAGTCCGGCATTCTATGGTCTGGAAACTCCCGTGGTCCGGAACGATTTTAGTTTGCTCAATAGGTAGATAACCAGCCTTTTTTTTTTTTTTACTTATCTGAATTATTATTATTATTATTACAGGAGTATTACATTTTCGCCCCTCAGGCTCCAATGTGGGTCAGTGAACTGTGCCCGGGTGGGCTAATCCCCGTAAAAAAAACAAACAACAAAGCCGCGGGAAATTAAGGTTTGTTTACATCCGGCTGTTCGGCTCTCTCTCTCTCTCTCTCTGTTTGTTTATACAGAGTACAACATTTAACCCTTCAATGTATATGAACAGTAAATAAGTGTTGCTTTCATATTCTTATGTAGAGTAATTACGATATGTTTTCACATGTGCGCACTTACATACGCGATCTCACTTTTTTCTTAAACATTAATGGTTAGCTACTTATATTGTTCCATTTATTAACATTAAATAACATTACTTCAAACAACCATATTAATTTTTACATTAATTTTACTACAGCTACAACCAGGGTCTTATTTTCGTGTTTTATATGTAGAACCAATCAGTCACTGGTTTTGTAAACAGTAACGAAAACAATGCCGGGAGCCGTCTCGTCTCCTCGTGTAGTTTTAATATTCCACGAATTATTAATGAATCGTATTGTTCATTTTGCACACAAACATTAATTCTAAAAAAAAAATCAGAAACATTAATTAAAACATATATGAACAGTAAATAAGTGTTACTTTCATATTCTTATGTAGAGTAATGACGATATGTTTTTCACATGTGCGCACATACATACGCGCAGTCTCACTTTTTTTCTTTAACATAAATGGTTTGCTACTTTTATTGTTCTATTTATTAACATTAGATAACATTACTTAAAACAACCATATTAATTTTTTACATTAATTTTACTACAGCTACAACCAGGGTCTTATTTTCTTGTTTTATATGTAGAACCAATCAGTCACCGGTTTTGTAATCAACGAAAACAATGCTGTCTCATTTCCTCGTGTGTTTTAATATTCTTCGTATTATTAATGAATTGTATTGCTCATTTTGCACACATAAACATTAATTCAATAAAAAAGACATTAAGTAATAAACAATAATGAATCTTTTGTACATAAGAGAAATGACGCTGTTTACACGATTGTGCACGTCGTCTGAACTTTGGCGGGCCGTTCAAACCCGTCGAAATTCGAGTTTCCGCCGTCAAAATTTTAAATTATTTAGTGGGGTTTTTTGTGTCCAAATAAAAAACATTGAATTAAAAACTCCGTAATTTGAGAAGCTACTGTACGACATTTAACCCTTCAATATGTCTTCAAAGAGACCACGAAGCAGTGAAAGTGGTGCAAACGTAAGCGCAAGTCACTATCTGTCCAGGAAAAGGGTGAATTTCCATGATCCGGAAATTTCCATGGTTCGGCACCGGTCAGGTCCCGAGGTTGCCGGACTAGAGAGGTACAACCTGTAGTTGTAACCTCTATCTCAGAGACCTCCATGACTATACCCTTTCCATGCTAAGCTGGTCCGTAAGCCCTGCCCCCTGTATATAGCTACAAGTAGCTGATTGGTTCCCCCTGAGCGTTTTACCTCCCCCCAGACTGCGCGTATATAAGCGTGTATTTATATTGACCTTTTATTATAAATATTTAACATTTTCTAACATTCTCTCTGAAGTGCTAATGCCTTGAAATCATTTGCATTTTGATAGTCCAGATATTTAACACTATTTTAGATAATAACAGGTCTGCTTACCAATTGTGAACACATTTAGTTTGAATTTTCTATGAACCAATCGGCTATTAGGATAGAAGAGGGGCATGGCTTATGGGCCAGGTTAGTGTGGAAATACTATAGTTAGTGTAACCAGTACATGAGTACAGTGGTGCAGTACTTCTAAGAGGACTTTTAGTCTGAACTCCTCCTTAAGGAAGTCAGGGGTGCTATTGTTGTTTTGGCTGTTATATTGTTAGGTTGCAGTACTTGTGGACAGTGATACACCTATGGTACAGTATATGATTTTCTGATTTGTGATATTTCATTTTTAATAAGACAAAGTTCTCTGTCCAGGGATATGGAGAGGATAAATTGTTTTTCTATCAGATTTTGGTTCTTATAAATCTTCTCTGATATCATCTATGATCAGTCAGTCAATGATTTATTCCCATCAATAATTTAATTAGGAAACTTTTTGCCAGTTCTGTAGTTTCCTTGGCAATCACGGAGAGAATGATTTCTACAAATGGTGGTATGATAGGCAACCCCTCACCTCCAATAAGCCCTGTAAATTAATTAGTGATGCTGTCACTGGTTACCAATAAGTAGCATCCCCTTAGAGGTAGTGGTGAACCAAAGATGTTTGTCTTTTGTCTATACAGTACAGACTTTTGGAAGAAATAGCCTCCTTTCTGTGACAATCATTAAAGGTGAGTTACATAGCTGAAATAATCAGCAAATCTGAGCTTTGCTCTTGCTCATTGAAGTTTACATGAATATAATTGAGGTTTTGACAAGCTGTTCTAAATTTACCAATCACAGCTTAACAAGTACAGTATTTGGCATTAAAGGTGGTCGGCCCAGTTCTCCTGAGCCATAAATACCTTAGATATTAGTGATATACATGATTGATTTTATAATTTATCTAAGATCTTTTTGTATATCTACACAAAAGTATGATTAACATCAATTGCTACTTGTTTGTCAACCTGTTTACAAAGTTAGAAGAATACTCGTATACACAGATTTCCACTTATGGTGTCTGAAATGTAACATAAATTCCCATTTTGCCAATGAATGAACATAATGTTCTACTTGTACCTTGCTTTTGAGAGAGGAAATTACCTATCCAGTTTAGGGTCAGGGGTCAAGGCCAGTATTATTTAAACAGATATTTTGTCTGAACCGTAACTCTAGTTTCTGTTCACTGATGAACGTGATGTTGCATAGGCACCTTGAGAGGTAATAGGTAGTAGGAAGCTATCAAACAGGGAGGTATTACCGCCTGGGAAAATATTGGAAGCATAATGTGCCGTATTACATGACAAAAATTTTGATCAAGTCCCAGGTTACTGATTTGGCTGACTTTCTGCCTCATTTACATGCAATTGCAAGGTCTCAGTTATTTATCTAATTTTGACAACACAACATATATATTGTTTTCACTCATGGTCTATTTTATTTTTTCTATTTATTTATTTATAGTGCAATTTTTTTTCGTCTGCCTGGCCTAGATGTGGGTCGGTGATTTGTGGCCAGGTGGGCTAATCCCTATTTAAAAAAACAAAAACAATTTCTATTGACTATCTATGTCTGAGGTTGGGGATATACAGTGGCTGTCAGGGGTTTAATTGATTTTGCTTAGTACAGTATATTTAACATTATTGGTCATAGTCATAATCATTCACTGCTTATCCCTGATTCTTTTTATTTATTTATTTATTTATATTTCAAGGGGGGGGGGAGGCTCATATCCAGTGTTAAACCAACTGATGGAGCTCTACACTCTTATGAATTATACTTTGTGTTTCATTGACTGCTACTTTATCATTCTTTGTCTTTAATTGTATACTGTTTCAGCTTGTACCTATCTGTTGTTTCTTTCCTACCATCCTGCTTGTAAGTGCTTGCTGATACACCCCTTGTTCTTTCTTATTTAGATGATTTAGTTATCATCTGAACAAAAGCTCTGTGTCAGTACATCCAGATCTTTGTCTAGTTGTATAACACTTAATAGTCTTTCAGCGAGTGGGTTTGTCCACACATTCTTGTTTCTTATCACAAATCAATAACAACTGTTGTGATAACCATTACAGCTTGGAGATATCTCCAACAAGTGATTGAAATTTTACTGAATCGCCCTCGTCCTTTCTTGGCACTTGTCACCCTACTAGGGTTTTGGACAATCTCTCACTTTGTAATAAGTATTACGCATGCTCAGGCTCTTCAATGTATACCTGAACATGTACTGGTGTTACTTTAGAATCCGTAACACTAGAGGGTGTTGAGGCTTTTAGTGGCTGGAGTGCTTGAAAAAGCCTCTATATATATAGCCACATCTCAAGTACTAACTGCGGGAAACAATATACTGTACAGTACTGTATTAATAGCCAGATGAGTGTTGAAATTTTTGAGAATTAATTCGGATTCCAGTGAGACTATTTTGGGGGGAGGATGGGATTGCTACTTTTCAAATAGGGTGAAATGTTTGTTTGTTTATAATTATTGATAAATAGAGATTGTGTATAATATTTGGTGTCATCAAAATTTTAGAGCCAGCATGCATATCTTGTGTTGTATGTAATGTTGTTGTCTTAAATCAGTTATTTCAGAATATATTTCTTCCCTCAGCTCTGATTGTAATATTTTACCATTTTCTTCACTAAATATCACTTATCACACTGGTTTCCTACACTAACTTAGCAAAGAATGCTTTAAATTCCCACCTTCTTATTTATTAGTAGAGAGCACTTCAATTTCCTACAGAATATTATAACCTAAAGGAATAAGGCTCCAACATGTCTTTGAAATGAATAGTTATTTAGCATCACAATAAATACTATACAGTATGTAGAATTTCATATAAAGTATTGATATTAGATACTCCATAGTCATCTAGCTCCTGGTTACCATTAGATACTCCATAGTCATCTAGCTCCTGGTTACCATTAGGTACTCCATAGTCATCTAGCTCCTGGTTACCATTAGATACTCCATAGTCATCTAGCTCCTGGTTACCATTAGATACTCCATAGTCATCAAGCTCCTGGTTACCACAAAAGTTGATGTACTGTACAGACTAGTTAACCTCCTTTCATGTTTGTAATAGATGCAGCAGTTTCCACCACTTAGTTAAATGTTTTATTGGCTGAAAACTGTAATCACTTCTTTACTAAAAAGCAAAACTGTGGTACAATCAAACCACACCCAACTATGCATTAACACCCCAGTCTTGGTTCATGGTAAAGAGGTGGTTGAACTTACTGTGGTCTTGTGAGTGCATCATGATGACGTCAGATGTACTGCATTCGTAATATAAATTTGGGGTAATGTACAGAGACTGACAGTGTTAGAATATTTCTGCCCAGCATATTGCCAGTTGGATAAATTGTGTGATGAACTCACTGTTGTAGAAGCATCTATTGTCATCCATAAGTTATTGGGGTAATATTATTGATCGGTCATTGCATATATAAGATATAAGATTGATAATTTTTCTTATATTCTTATGGTGGTTAAATAGCCAACCAAAATTTTGAGAATGTGCATTTAATTTGATAACTTTAATAGCATTAGGGTTTAGCATAATTTTTTTAGGCCTGTTTTTCATTAGTTTATTTGGTTGTTAATTTATTTATTTATATACTTTTTTTTGTATACTATACAATATTTTTTGCAACATGAACATTTTTTGTACTCATATGATGCATCAGTTCTCAAATAGATATATTAAAAACTTAGTCAACAAATTTTCCTCTATTTTAAAAATAAGATCTAGGAAAAGAATAGATTAGGCATATCCCAGTTTTGAAGAGCCCATTAGTCACTTATGCATGGTGTCTTCCCAACACAAAAGTGACGAAATCAGTGACTACAAGTCCTAGAATACAGTATACAAGGCTCATTCCTTAATTCACTTTGTTAATACAATACCAACTGATTCTTAGCTGTCAGAAATAGAATTCACCACATCAGTGTAGATGAAAATTTAACATCTGCATATGGGGTGGTTAACTTGGTATTTTCTATGACTGCTAATCCCTGAGCGTCACACAAATACCTGCATGTATAACTCTAGGTTTTTGTTTTTCGTCGTAGCCACTCACTGTTTGAGAATACCAAGAGGTACGTTAGGGAGACCTAGCTGCCACGAAGACCTGTTAGGACCATTAGGGGTCATATGCTATGACCACCCTTGAGATCATCTTAGCATATATCAAAGTTTTACTGAGGTATATTATTCAATTTAAACCGGCTAAAAGTATACAGTATTTAGTATAATCACATTAACATCAGTTGGAATTATTAGTGTAGTAGCCATTTCGAGTTTATCCTTTATCTAAATACTTCTGTACAGTAAATTTAGGCAGTATTTGCAAATTCTACAGTAATATCTTTATGTTTTTGCATCCTTTATGTTGCTGGGCCATACTGATGATTAACTGAAAACTCATTCCAGTATATCATTAGTAAAATTTCCTGTACATGACTAATTGCTAAGCTGACCTCAAGTAATATTGAAGGATTCCCGACTGAAGTCTGTTATGTCAGGCCAAAGTAGTTGTTAAGTAAATGGGATATACAGTGAATATCCTTTCCCCTACCTCATATACCAACTATTGCAGCTGATATGCTATTTTATTATAGACAACAACATAATTACTGATAGTCATTCAGACATTTATGGACGATAAGACTATCATTGTATAAATATAGATTACATACACCGTTTCTTGTTTAATAATTATGAACAATGTGCCTTAGAAACTCCCAGTTACTGATCATTACCTGACTTTCTTGTGTTAAACCTCAGTAGCAGTACTTAAAACATTTTACAATGAATTATATCCATTGGTTTGGCTCTTACACAAGGAAGCAGGTTAGCAGCCACCATAATAAAGAATGATAGAAAGCAGAAGGCAGAATAGGGTAATAAAATGGGAAATATGAAAAGGTTAGGGATTTTGAGAACGTGTCTTTAAAGAATATTTTGGAGAATGTTTTGTTGATCTTTAAGTGATTCTGAATGTATATTTTAGAGTAAACACAAAAACATATTAATAAGATGGTTTGGGAGTAAAAAAATTGTCAAGTGTAAAGCTAAACAAGATTTGTTAAGAAAATAGGAAGCAAAAAATAAATAAAAAATGGTAGAAAATGTATAGGTATGATTCAGAAGTAAAAGAGTAAAAGATGGGAGAGAGAGGAAGAAGGAGGGGGAAGAGGGATGAGGTGAAAGACAGGCATGAACGTCCAGGATGCAACAGTGTGTGGATATGATTGGAAAACGAGATGTCCAGTGATTTATGGCAGTGGTTACCAAACTTTTCAAATTCACGGACCTGCGGAGAGTGTGGAATAAATTCTGTGGACCTGTAATTGTAAATATTTGGAACTGAAAATATATTGTTCTATAAATTATTAGAAATACACCAAAAATATACCTTTAAGACATTTATTTCACTAAACATTGGTAGCAGTGAGGCCCCACTGTAATATGTACAGATGCATACAGTATATAGTGTGCAGTACTGTAATATCCCGATAGCCTGAACAATTGGTGGAGAACATATCCGTGTCGAGAGATTTTCGGGTATTGAGACGAACCCTTAGCCTGGAAAAAATCTCACATTTATGGAATTTTTCCGGGCATTGGTGAATATTTCTGAGACTGACGTATGTGTCTGACACGGAGCACTGTTACTAGGGAGACTTAGCTGCATTCAAACAACCACAGAACTGTATTCATTTATGTTACCACTGCTGTACAGTATAGTAAATAAACAAAATATACTACTGTATATATTGTACTATACTGTACTGTACTTGCCAGCAGATGCTGTCGTCTTGAGCCTGTAATGCAGACAGGCCAAATGGTGATATGATGATACAGAATGGCCTGCTTTTGTCCTGTACCATCTACTGTAGGTGATGCTGTTACTCTACTTTCCCTCCATGAAAGAGGGATTATACACATGCTGTATACTGTACACACACCCTCTACACACTGGCCCATAGTAGGCATGCACTGTTCGCTCTGCTATGTACTACGTATATGTATACCGGTAGTCACACTGAATGAACTGTATAGTTTGCTTAACTGTACGGTATTCTCTTTTACATCTTGACACTGCTTTAACGTTTTCTTTGTCAGTTGTTTCCTGGTACAGTAATGCACAACACAATGTATACGAGTGAGCGAGCAAACAAACTTGTACAATGGCAGTGACAATGATTTATGATTAGTCCTGATGCTAGGGTTTGAGGAGATAGGCTGCAAGATACATCAGCTAGTCATAGGCATCCCATGCAGTCACATGACAGTAGTAGCCAATCACAGCGTATGAGCACTCTGAGCCTACGACCTAAGTTCTCCATGCAGCTAGCCCACTCACACACTTGGTTGACACATCCTTGGTGCATGGTGCAATCTCCCAGAAATTCATTTGAATGCCTGGAACAGAGAGATGTTTTTGTAATTTCTCAGAATCTTTATTTTATTTAATTTTTTTGGGTATTGGAAAGGTCCAGGGATTGAAGATTCCAGATATCAGGGATACTGTATTACTATTCCTGTGTTCTTATAGTCTTTATACACCATGATAGGCGATTGTAATCTAATAAAAGTAATAACTTGGGAAACAACAGAGCAGAATGAAATACATTCTAACTTTTGGCCGATTTACTAAAGGCCGCCCAGGGGTCAGCTGACCGTTGCCGCAGATTAAATATACTGTATATATATACTGTATATATACGTATATATTTTTTTCTTCAATTAATTGAGAACTGTAGTAGTGTTAATGAGAACAAAGTTTAAAAGAATTATATTTTACTTAAAAATTATAAGCAAAGTCCATACCTGGAGCTGGCAGATGCCCACCCCATAAATTTAGAAAACTGCGAGGGTAAACTTTTTTAGAGTGAGAGTTGTGAACTCTTGGAACAACCTGCCAGAGAGTGTTGTGACAGCACCGAGTGTAATCTCTTTCAAGACCAGACTTGACCAACACTGGAGCAGGTTCCGATACATTCAGGAGCCATTGCATGCCCAGTACTTGCCAACAGTGTGTAACAGTGACATGACCGACCACCCAGGCGGCTGACGAGCCGATCTGTGGCGAAGGGGATAAAAGTAAAAATTAAAAAAAAAAGTAAAAGTAAAATAAATGATCATAAAAAATCCAACAGGCCAGTAAACCTTAAACCATGGACCAGCACCAGTCCGCGGCAGACCATTGATTGGGAACCACTGGTTTATGGGGATGGACATGCTGCTGATGTGTGATGCGAGTTGTATGAATTGATGGATACACCAAAAGAGGAAGGCCATAGTAAAACACAACTGGTATACTGTATTGAAATATTATCTGAGTGGATGCAAACGTTGCCCATGAACCATTACCATGGCTGGGGAAAACGTGGAACTAGTGTCACTGTTACAATTAAATAATGTAGTGTCTTATATCACTGTGCAAACTGTTAAGATGTCAACACTTAGTCGATTTTGGCACAATTATCATGTGGTCTTTGTCTGTGTCCATCAAACTTACCAAGTTTGGAGCTAATCCACAAACAGTTTTGAGTTATTTTGGGAACACAGACAGGCAAGGGTAATGGATGAACAACAGCAAATGAGGGAAAATTTGTTTTGCATTTGATTCTGTCCACCCGTCACCATAGCTGGAAGCAGCTTACAAGATTAAGTAAGAATGCTGCCAATAACAGGAATATTTAATTCAATTATACTTTCAAATTAGACAGCAATTGTATCCTGAACATTTTTCCTCTTCAAAACTATCCAGATACATATCAAACTTAATTGATTCTCAGTTATTAGAGTTGAGAAAGTGTAATAATCTGACAAGATAGTGGAACCAATTATGCCTAATTTATGTTTTGTGAAATGGTGTTAATTTTTACTTCAGCATTGATTGAATATTTTATCACTATTCACTTTGTACACTGAGATAATATTAATATTGATATATTAATAAGTCTCCTGTCTTCTTTTACTCTTGTAGCTTCATCCATCAGTACTGTACTTATATTCACCATTCATGATTTTCTATCGCTGCTCTCGTATGATCCAAATAATCTACAAAGTCTTAACTCAGGCCATCTCTTGTGGGGTATGCAAGTCTCCTCACACCGTCAACTGCACTCTTTGAAATCATTATTAACCCATAATGGTGGGTATTGTATATTTTCATGCACTGCCCACCCAGGATGCGGTATATTTCACTATGTAGAAAACTGAGCAAATCGCGTACGATAATGTTGTTCAAATACATGTAAAACACGTCCTAATTGAGACATTTAAATTTTTTGCATACCATTAGAAAGATGATTTTTTTCTATAAATTAATATTTAATAAATACGAGAAATAATAATTTCTTGGAGAAATCACAAGTTGAACTGGGATTACACTTTGCATGTTTTCTGTCTACTGCCCTTTATGCATTTTCCTCCCAAATATCATGTGGTGTCTACCACCCTTTAAGGGTTAAATTTTACCCACTTAGTGGATGTAGTACAGTAATATCTCCGTTAACCAGAATCCCCCAAACCCATAACTTTTCGATAGCCGGAATTGAAATTTTCTCGGAAAATTGTTCCCAAAGCCGAGATTTTCCGGAAAATTCCGACTTTCAGAATGATTTTCCAAGGGGCACATTTTCCGATAAATTCTGAGAAAATTTTCCCGATACTGTACCCGGATTTTCCAGGGATGGGGGAGTTTTTTCCGGTTTTGAGAGATGAAAAGTACACACATTTTCCAGAACTTCCAAGAAAATTTTTCCGGTAGCCGGAAAATTCCGGGGATGGGGGATATTTTTCCGGGTTCAAGAGATGATGTAATGGGCAATTTCTGGAACTTCCGAGAACATTTTTCCGTTACCCAGAAAATTCCAGGGATGAGGGATTTTATCGGTTTTGAGAGAGTCTTGTCGTTACCCGGAAATCTCTAATTCCGGAAGTGCTCTGCACCAATTGTTCTGGCTAACGGAGATATCACTGACCTTAGGGTTGTTTGTTTGTTCCTGGGGCACCTGCAAATCAGAACTGGCCTCATTGATTCCTTGTGTACCTATAAAAGGCTTAGTCTTCAATGTACTGTATA